TGTGTGTGTGTGTGTTACAGGTCTATGTAGGTATATGTCTTGGTAGAGATAGATCTAGAAATAGAAATGGCGATACATACATGTGTATGTACACATATACATGTCAATATCTACACATACATAGAATACAGGATAAGTCAGGGATTCTTGCCCCCGCCCTTCGAGCGAATACACCTCGATATGGCTTGAGATCAAATCACGTCCAAATCTTCAAGGTTACAGCTTTGCGGCATGTCCCTGAGGGTGTGTTCGGCATTCAGCTCTCAGCACACTTCAGAAAGGATGTCCGCACGTCGGACTGAAGCCTGCGAAATGCCTTTAAGCAATGGACCGCAAGCGACCGCAATGTGCTGCAGAAAGGCTCTGGGAACCTCGCGCACCCGCTGGGTGTAGGGTTTAGGGTTTAGGGTTTAGGGTTTAGGGTTTAGGGTTTAGGGTTTAGAGTTTAGGGTTTAGCATTTAGGGTTTCGGGTTTGGGTTTAGGGTTTAGAGGTTAGGGGTTTAGGGTTTAGGGTTTAGGGCTTAAGGTTTAGGGTTTATTTGCAACGATTCATCACAAGACAGCCGGAAGCTATCGGGAGGCACATGCGGAGCTCTTCGCAGATGGCATCGACCTCCGGAGGTTTAGGGTTTAGAGTTTAGGGTTTAGGGTCTAGGTAGGGTCTAGGGTCTAGGGTCTAGGGTCTAGGGTCTAGGGTCTAGGGTTTAGGGTTTAGGGTTTAGGGTTTAGGGTTTAGGGTTTAGGGTTTAGGGTTTAGGGTTTAGGGTTTAGGGTTTAGGGTTTAGGGTTTAGGGTTTAGCATTTAGGGTTTAGGGTTTAGGGTTTAGGGTTTAGGGTTGAATGTTTAGGGCTTAGGGTTTAGGGCTTGTTGTGATAGGGCGTAGATGCTGTGAAGGTTAGGCTTTGGAACCAGCTCGAAAGCTTCGAGAGGTGCGAAGAGCAGCTTTGGCCCGATTGTGGAGGGCCATCTAACACTTTTCTCCCACCCCACGCCGTCCGAGGCGGCAAAGCCACCCAAACCTAGTCCTTTTAGGGTTTAGGCCTAAACTCAAGGCAACAGTCCACTTCTAAAAAATTCTTCCGTTTTGGGATGTTTCGTCAGGGGGTTGTGGGTTTCTTGCGAGAGCCAAGCAAAACACGCCCAGAAGCTTGGTACTCCTTAAGGGTAGTGACTTTAACAAGGGACCAGTACTGGTCCTGAAAAGAACGTGCTCCGGTACCGGGCCCATCGTGGGTGCTACCGCCCTCCGAGCTGTGGGAGGCGGGCGAACGAGCTGGGTCGACTTGTGCCGTCGAGGTCGAGGGCTTAGGCGCCGCCCCCCAACTGTAGGGGGGCGGCCTAGGCCTTGAGTTTAGGGTTTAGGGTTTAGGGTTTAGGGTTTAGGGTTTAGGGTTAGGGTTAGGGTTTAGGGTTTAGGGTCTAGGGTTTAGGGGCCCAGAATTTAGAGAATCTCCCCTGTAGCATCTGTTTTTGTCCCTGCCTGGGGCTTGGCCAGCCGGTCTCGGTGGCACGTGCCTGCGGAAGAGCTTTCACTTTGGCATTTGTGAGGCCTCTTGCAGTACCCAGGTGTCATCGTAGAACCGTAGAATAATGTGACGATTCAATCTTGTACTTTCTGATAACACTATAAGAAAGAGCAGAAATAATCATATGCGCAGATACTAGACTACTGCTAAGAATATCATAGAACAATAATATAAATATCAAGAATGCACATATATGCTCTAAGAGTCGTAAATAAATCATATGTTCGTCTAGCAATTAAAGTCGAAAATGTGCAAGTATAGTATTGTGGCACCATAATCATAGTCCAGCTACAATCCTAGCTCTTGTGGGCATGTAGCGGCTGTGTCTATGTTGCTACTGCCTGGAATCCAGACCTCGGCACATTGCATGGCTGCTCAACGTGGCTTTACATGAAGCTGCTTCAATTCGTCTCCACGTGTTCCAATGCTTCAACTACGTCGACATGCACTTGGGTTCCCACAGAAGCCCTAGCCCGCAGCTTAGCTTGGCATCAACATGTGCAGGCCATGTGCAGCACCCTAAACCCTAAACCCTAAACCCTAAACCCTAAACCCTAAACCCTAAACCCTAAACCCTAAGCATTGGCTGCTCGAGCCGACAGGTGCGCCACAACTCATGACAGCACAGCTCCGGAGCCCCCTGCCGCGCTCATTCGCGATCCAGCTGCTTAGAGGTTCATGGTACTTACTAACCAATTTAGGGTTTTAGGGTTTTAGGGTTTTAGGGTTTAGGGTTTAGGGTTATAAGTGCAGTTCTAATTGGTTAATAAGTACCATGAACCTCCACATGTGTTGGCCGTTTTCTCCGTTTCCATGCGCCAGCTCCCTCTCAGTCTAGGCTGTGGCCCCTGGCCTCCAGCTTGGATGTCATCCCTCGGTTACACTGATTGCGCGTACGACATTCATCTGAAGTGAGATACCATGTCATGCAAGACATTCATAGCGGTGGCTTCGCGAGAGCGTTGCAGAGCAATCCATCTCCACAGTCACTTCGATCGGATGCCAAGTTGCAGGGACACGGTCCTCTGGCGGAGCTCCCGCAGCAATTCCAGCGCAGAGGCCATTTTGGCTTGTCTGGAGGGCCCCACAGCCTCCTGAAATTGCAACTGTCATGCAACAACTTAGTTGTCCAGTAGCCTGGGGGAACTAAAGGTGAACCTTTAGGGTTACAAGGGGATTCTATAACCCAAAAAAGGTTAAAGGTTACCCACTCTACTAGGACAATGTGGGTTAGCACATGGCAAGCAGAAGCTCCGCCCGTGGCCTGTGGCAACACTTCTGCGAGGCTTTCGAGCTCGCCCCGCAGAAAATGAGCGGCTGCATCCAAGAGCGAAGCTTGCCTAGGGTTTAGGGTTTAGGGTTTAGGGTTTAAGGTTCAAGGTTTAGGGTTTAGGGTCTCGGGTTTAGGGTCAACTCTTACAGGCAGGATCACGCACAAATCCACAGAACCTTTACGGAAGCTGTAGAATCGGTGGTTTCGATGCTCGAGCTTGCGAAAAACGGCAAAGGGTTTAACCCTAAACCCTAAACCCTAAACCCTGGCGATCCGGGCTGCAGCAGCAACCCAGTGGAGGAGGTCGTCTGCTCCTCGCCGCCTGAAGCGTCAGCATGTGTCAACATGCGTCACGCATGCGACAATCGGCACAAAGAAGTGTGGACTCAAACCCTGAACCCTTTTCTTGGAACCATGGAAGCGAAGCTCATCCCCACAAGCCTTCTGGAATGCTCACGAGAACCCTAAACCTCAAACCCTAAACCCGAAACGCTAAACCCTATCTAAGTGTGGACTCCAACCCTAAACCCTTTTTCACAAGGGACTCGACTGCTGCCCTTTCTGCCCAGCCCGCTCCCACGCCACAGCGCCTATGACTCTAAACCCTAAACCGTACTAACCCTATAAACCCTAAACCCTAAACCCCACTGACCCTAAACCCTAAACCCTACTAGCCCTAAACCCTAAACCCTCAAACCCTCAACTGCACTTCGCGCACTTCGCTGCGCTCTCGCGTCTCTGCCTCGCAGGGCCACCTCTGCAAAGCCCAGGTGCCGGATGGCTGCCAGGAGCTCGGAGGAGGCGTCTCCAGGGGGTGAGAATACTCTATACCAAGAGAATGTGGGGTTTAATCCCTCACACTCGGCACTCGGGCATGCCAGGCGATCTGTCCCATGGACTTGAATATGGGGTTTAGGGTTTAGGGTTTAGGGTTTAGGGTTTAGGGTTTAGGGTTTGGGGTTTGGGGTTTAGGGCTTGGGGTTTGGCTTAAATATAACATATAAATATATACTGACATAGTATCATGTTGATGTAAAAGTCTTCGAAGCGCCGGGGGCCGGTGATTTCGCTGAAAGCCAAGCCTGCCCAGCTGTTGGCCTGGCGACAGCTCCAAGCCACTCATCACAGCTTTCAGCAAAAGCCCCTAAACCCTGAACCCTAAACCCTAAACCCGAAACCCTAAACCCTAAACTCCTGCCTCTTCCTTCTGCAGGTTTTGGTGATGCTGCTCCTGCTGTAGGTGCCTCTTCCAGCCATCAGACACACTAAAACACATAGTGCCCAGGTGCCCAAGCCTCACACGCTGCTGCTGCCGTTCCAGGCGGATCCCAAGCTCTCGCGCCTGCGACCAAATGTAAGGAGTTTTCAGCCGCATCCGGACTTGCTTTTACCCCGCCCCCGGCCTTGGCAGAAGTGGTGTGAATAGCTGCCTCCATGGTCGCGGTCTCTGACAAAGCCTGTCTCAGCTGCTCCTTAGCTTCTAGGGTGCAGACTTGCCATGCGAAAACCATGCGTAGGGTCTAGTGTTTCGGATTTAGGGTTTAGGGTTTAGGATTTAGGGTTTAGGGCTTAGGGTTTATCATGGCACTCGCACGTTCAGCTGGGCTGCATCTTGGCTCGAAGCGAGCCTGCGAAGGCTCTGGACTCGAGCGCTCGCATCCGCCGCCTCGGCTTCCTGCTAGGGTGCAGAAGGGCCGTGGTTCTTAGTAGGGAATGCAGGAACTAGGGCCCTATACATATGTATATATACATATATATATATATATATACATATATATATATATGTATGTGTATATACACCCTTTCAGAACCAGCCAGTACTTGTCTTGGCTGTTGCAACTCGCATGCCTTTTCTCCGCCGGCACGAATGTTGCATCATGCACCAGCACCACAGGGCCCCCAAGGCACCACTTTTAAGCCTGAATACTCAGTGCTGTTTCCCCTAAACCCTGAACCCTGAACCCTGAACCCTAAAAAAACCATGCAGGCTGGGGTGGCCCTGTCACTGGAGCACGGAGGATGTGGGCGTAGTTCTCCAAACTTGGGGCTCCCTTTTTTGGGGTTTCGGGTTTAGGGTTTAGGGCTTAGGGTTTAGAGTTTAGGGTTTAGGGCTTGGGCCTTAGGCTTTAGGGAAATATTCAACATGCTCCTCAGGGCACACCCCTTAAAGGAAACTAAGGGGTTTGGTAACATCCTTCCTTATGTTCTCCGGTATGAATTGTAAGGATGCGGCCGCCGCATTCTCATGAAAAGAGTTGACTCGGATGAGATCTGATACCTCGATGCCAAGGAATCTTCCTCCAGAATCTTGCCCTCGTGAGAAAGCCCGAAGACGTCCTCGGGACAGCCTGTCTTCTCGACAATGGTCTTCTTGACGTCCACCACCGGCTTGTGCAAATCCACTTTGATGACAAGCGTCTTGCCCAGCAGATCCTTTACCTCGGTAGCCCAGTAATCATATCATGATAAGGGCACCCTTTTTGGGTTGGCTATTTTATCAGGGAAACTATAAACAAAAAAAAGGTAAAGGGTAACTGGCCACCAAGTTACAAAGGCCTGAATAACTTCGTCATTTGACCGCAGAGACTCCAAGTTCTGCCTGGCCAGATCGGCATCTGCCTGTGCCTTCGACGCCCACTGCGCCGCGAGCTCTGCCTGCACGTCGGCTCGGATCAGGGCTGTGCCGCGCTTTGTCTTCGCCAGCTCCTGGTCCTTGGTTCGCAGTTCACGCCTCAGTTCAGCCAGCTGCCTCTCCTGGCGCACAGCTTGAGACTTGAGATGGTCAACAAGTTGCTCTTGTTGGCACACTTGACCCCTGAGTGACTCGATGGTGTCGGCCTGCTCCTTCAGCGCCTGCTCCTTCAAATCGAGCCTCTGAGCCAAGTTCAGCCGCTCAAGTACTGGACAGGCCGCTTCATGAGCGGCGCTGGCTTCCTGCGGCCCCGTCCAGGCACAGCTGTCGCGGAAGCGCGGGCAGCGGACGAGCACTTCATCCAGCAAGGTCTGAACTAAGGGGTTTGGGTTCAACTCCCATGCGTTCAGGGGAGATCTGCAGGTAGGACAGCGGGCATTCCGCCCCAAGGCGCGCTCGATGCACCTCCGGCAGAAAACGTGCTGGCAGATCGAGGACACAGGCTTGACGAACACCTCAGTGCAGATCACGCACCTCAGTGCTTTTGACACAGCCTGCGGATTGAGCAGCTGCTCATCAGGGAGACCCATGGCAATTCCGGAGATCACTGGTCTAGGAAGCCTTCGAAGCCCCCAATGCTTCTGGAAGTCAAAAACTCAGTCGCTTTTCTTCATGGAGTGTTACATGGCCATAACTCGCGCAGTGCCTACTGCTGTCAGCTGGAGCCGCATGAGCACAACATCCGAGCTCATCCAGCATCATGCTCCTGGATACCCTAAACCCTAAACCCTAAACCCTAAACCCCCCTAAACCTGGCCCGGCCAAGCACTACTTGGAGGCTCATGGACACTTGCAAGTGGGCTTGCAAGCACTCTAAAAAAAACAACCACAACCTAGGCTTGCCTTATGTCCCTACCCCTAAACCCTAAACCCTAAACCCCTAAACCCCTAAAAAACACCCATGAGCCTCCGAGTACTCACAACACTCCCGCCTCCATGGCAGCTCCGCGGGCCTCCAGAGATGTTGGGTTCGCAGGGTTTCGGGTTTAGGGTCTTGACGGTTTAGGGTTTAGGGTTTTGGGTTTGGGGTCTGGGGTTTAGGGTTCTGGGTTCTGGCTTCTGGCTTCTGGCTTTTGGGTTTTGGGTTTTGGGTTTTGGGTCTTTTTGCCACCCCCGAGCACCCGCGCACACAAAGTGGAACTTAAGGAGTACGCCTAGCACATTTCCTGGGCGCGGCGGCCAATTTCCGATCATTGAGTACCTTAAGGGAGCCCGCAGGCCCAAAGGTGAGACAAAGAGCGAAGACGGGGCGGACGAGAGGAGCAGATCTGCGCAGACTCCAAGGGGCAAAAGGGGATGTCTGTTTGCACCCTAAACCCTAAACCCTAAACCCACAACTTGTCCCCCAAGCGACACTATGTCAAGATCTTGCCCCACAACTTGCTTCGTGCACCACAGCCGCATGTCGCAGGGGAAACGTAACTCCTAACTATCTACCCATGAACCTTCAAGTCCTGTTCCCCCCCTTCGCATCCCCTCACCACAGGTGGTCAGAGGGTTGACCCCAAACCCTAAACCCCTCGAGTCACGGACTTTGGAGGCTGCCGGCAAACATGCAACTTCTCAGAAGGCACATCACGCAAAAAAATCCTAAACCCTAAGCCGTAAACCCTAAACCCCCAAGCGGTTTAGGGTCCCATAAGGGACACGGGTGCACCACACACCCGCCTGTTCGGCCAGCACCTCCTGCATCAGGGGGCACGGAAGGCACGGAGACTTTGAGAATTCATGCCAGGGATACAAGGTTGGCCCCTTTGAACCCTCTGAGAAAAAATACGTATTATATATATATATATATGTATGTATGTATGTTTTTATCCATTTCTAAACACGTATGTATACATGTATATACATGTCAATGGAATCCAAATAGAATCCTCTCAAAACCACATACGGGGCAACATAAAATGCCCAAAGGGTCTACCCAGGATGTCATTGGGAGTCCTGCGCGGCCAATCGCAGGCGCGTCTTGCAAAGGAGCTCCTTCTCCACCTTCTGCTCCTCAAACGGTTTAGGGAATTTGTTTGCCAGGTTTTGGGTTTAGGGTTTAGGGTTTAGGGTTTAGGGTGTAGGGTGTAGGGTTTAGGGTTTAGGGCAGAACTGCGGGAGACAGCCGAAGGGAAGCGGGTACAGCTTGCGGCACTTCATGCCTGGCAGGAGGCACAAACGCTCAAAGAAGCTTTCCAGGGAGGTGAGCGCCCACCTCTTGCACGGTCTCTCATGTTGCATGTGGAGTCAGGCAAATGACTCAAATGACTCGAACCAGCACAAGTTTGGCTAGGAGGGCGTGCCCGAGTCAGAAGACTCAGCAAGCTCAGATGCAGTTTCCTCGTCGGAACTGTTCCCTGAAGCACAAAGTGCACAGGGCTCGGGACGCGATGTGGGAGCACAGATTTGTGAAAGACTGAAAAAAATCTCAATCAGAAGTGCTCTGGCAAGAAATGTTCCGCAACCTGGCATCGCCGCGACCCCATCCAGGCCGATAACCGAGAGCACGTACGTCAGGAAGGCCGTTGAGGCGCCCAGCGGAAGCACAATCCTGGCATTTGACTTGAAGGTCAGCTCGGAGTACTTGCAGACGATGACTTGGAGAAGGTCCAGCGCCAGGACCTTCTTCGCGACTTTGCAGATGAAGGCGCGGCCGTCTTTCTGCGAGCGCACGTAGGCCAAGACAGTACCAAGGATGGCCCAAACCCAGATGATCGCAACCACCCAGCCAAGCCAAGAGCCAACCATCATCATGCAGACGGCAAGTCTGACAGCATGGAATGTCACAAAATACCTCAGGCACATGGAGAATACCAGGCACAGCTTGGCCACACGCAATGCACATGCCTATCCTTGCTCCTCCAGTACGAAAAGCTGGCGTAGCAGCTAGATGACTAGCAGTTAGTAGCAGTTGCGGACATCAGAATATGCTATACATATATATATATATATCCATATTTATGTGTATATGTATGTATGCGTGTACGTATGTACGTATGTATGTATGTATGTATATTTGCATTTGTACGATTTGTAGGGTTCAAGCAGGGTGGCAGAACCGTGGCATGGTCTGCATCTCCAGCATTTTTGACATCTACTCCGGCTGCTGATGCCCGGCGCAAAGATGCAGTCGACATCCCAGCTCTCAGCAGCACAGCGATCGTTGAGTCAACTACACTGGATCGTGCGCCGATTTCCCGCCAGATCCTGACAGAATCATCTTCCCGCGAACACTTTGCGCAGCTGCTACTCCCCGAATAGCCAACCTGCAAGCTAAGCTCGCTTTCCTCGATTGCTCTCCGATTCAGCTGGTCCACCTCCGAAACCAGCACACATATCCCCATCAAGCACCAGAAGACCACCCCCATCGTAGCAAATGTTGAGTCTAGTGCCTCAGGCAAATCCGGTGGCACAAACAAGACCGCGGCAAAGAAGCCAGCCAAACCGGCGCTGACGAGGTGGGCCACGCGACGGCAGAGAGGCATGGTGACGCAACCTGACACAAGAATGCCGGAGCAGAAGATAATCAGCAGCCACTCGGTCAGGGGGGCTGCGTACTCCAAAGGCCCATCGAGGTTGCGAAGCCACAGGCCCATGCAAAGCCCGATGCTGAATGCAAGAAATACAGCGCTGCCGGCCCAGAACTTCGCTCGGCAGCAGGGCCGGGTGGCTGTTAGAATAATCTTCTCGTGCTCGAAGGCGAGAAACGCTTCGTAGACACACCAAAGACGGGCATAAACGCTCCTTGCGATTTGTCTTTTTTTGTTTTTCCCCACCCTCGGTGTGGGGTTGTTAGATTTTAAACTCAACTCTGCTCCTCGCCCGGAACTCTTCTCCGCGCCCGGAACTAGTCTACTCCTCGCTCATCCCTGGAGTGCCCAACCCCAAAGTGTCCCTTGGAGTGCCCAACTCTCGAATGTCCCTGGAGTGCCCAACCCCAGAGTCTGCCTGGAGTGCCCAACCTCAGAGTCTCCCTAGAGTGCCCAACCCAGAGTGTCCCTTTCTCTTTTCTTTTTAATTAGAGAAATATATTATGGATGGTGTTTACGTTATCTTCATTCTAATGGTGTATCATTTGTCTTTCTTTTTATATTTCTTCATCTTGGAAGAGCTATATCTTATGCTTCATATTTTTATAATCCAAATACTTGGTTTTCTGGAATTATTATTTACTTCTTCTTAATGGGAACAGCATTTATGGGTTATGTTTTACCTTTAGGACAAATGAGTTTATGAGGAGTTACAGTAATTACAAATTTATTATCTCCATTTCCATCTTTAATAGAATGGCTTTGTGGAGGACATTATATTTACAATCCAACATTAAAGAGGTTCTTTGTCTTTCATTTTCTATTTCCATTTCTTCTTTGTGCTTTTCTTCTTTTTCATATTTTTAATCTACATTTTCTATCTTCTAATAATCCTTTAAGGAATTCCACTAATAATAAAATAGCATTTTTTCCTTTCATTATTAGTAAAGGAGTCTTCCGGTAGTGCCCAACCCAAATGTCTCCCTGGAGTGCCCAACCCAGAGTGTTGCCCAACCCCAGAGTATCTCTACCAAGAAAGGGTGGGGATGTTCGAAGTAAAATAATTTGATTTCTTTTCTTTTTCTTTTTTTTTTTTTTTTTGGGGGGGGGGGGGGGGGCGCCAACACACTTAGATTGCAGTTGTTTGACGCCTACCTGTACACGAAGGGGCCTAGACTCCCACATGCGGCGCTACTACTTTTAGTCTTACTAGTAGTATTATTCTTCGTATTCTTCTTAGTATCACTAATCGCAGCATTAATAACATTTTTATTATCCTGATGAGCATTATCCTCACTAGTATTATGATTAAAAAAGCGGGCCAAGACTCCCATGAACATTTGGCACCACCAGCACGTACTTGGCGGATGCCAGGGCCACAGCAAACGGTGAGGACCTCGGGTCGCTGATCAGCCGCTCGATGCTCAGGTTCCTTACTTCTCCAATAACCAAGGGGAAAAAAGTTTAAACTTTAATATTTCTACTAAATAAGGAAACCCAAAAAGTTTAAAGTTCACCTAAAGGCGATGTAAGGTTCTGTGGGTTCGCCAGCATGCAGCACCAGGCGTTCTGCGCTTCGAAGGGCCAGGAGTTCAGGAGCTGGTGGCTGAACTCAAAGATTCCTTCCTCAGCTCAGAACAAGTCAACGCGTCCAAAAAGCGACATGTCTGCAAAAAAAAACCTGGCTCTGCACTTTCGCACTTTGATGCCTGCCAGGCGTGCGTGACGAAGAGGTCGCACGCAAGCCCAGCGGGATGCCTCATCAGCGCCCAGCTCATGCCGCCTGCGGCCAGGGTGATGGGCTTGATGAGCTGGTCGGTCAGCGTGTAGATGGAGGGGCCCATCTTAGACACTGACTGCAAGAGCAGACTCCTACCTCAAGACTACAGGGTCAACTACAGGGTCAACACAGCGTACTCGTTGCGAAAACGTATGGCTGACAGGCAACGGTCGCATCGCCCTTGTCAAAAGGATCTGTTTCAGATGGTGACAGCCACCCATCCTCCATGGCTTCAAGAATCAGCCGGCAGAGATGCGAGAAGTCCTCGCGTGTCACACACCACCGGTCGGCGCGCACCGAGTGATGCAGAGCTTCCCCATGGCTGACATCATGCAGCTTCCCGGTTTGCATGCCAGCCCTAAACCCTAAAACCTAAACCCCAAACCCTAAACCCTAAACCCTAAACTCTGAACCCTAAACTTAAACCCTAAACCCTAAACCCTAAACCCTAAACCCTAACCCTAAACCCTTATGCTAAGGCAGCCCTGCCAGCCGCATGTCGCGACGTGAAGACGTCTGGAAACATGATTTACTGCACCAGCTCGTGTCTTCCGAGAATGTCACGACAAGTTGATAGTCAACGATCTTCAGTTGCTCATGGAACTCATGCATCGGAATATGCGAACATGTACAGACATTCTGAAATATTCATGACATATGTGCATGTTTATATATACACATACATAAATATATACATATGCTTATAACTTCCCTGTAACTGTGTATATATAAATATGTTTTTGTAGATGTGCTTTGTTTTTTGCTAAACTTGTATGTATAATTACGAATGCATGTGCTTTATTCAATGGAAACACGCGGAGGACGCTTAACGAGGAGGAGAACATCCCAGCACCGCTCCGCCGCGCGCTGCCGATCTCTTCGGAGAGCCGCTTGCCGTGCGACCTGCGAGCGCGTCTGGCCGGATGCTACAACACACACACACACACTCACACACCTACACACACATATTTATATGTGGCTATGAACACACACATATTTTATATATATATATATATAGACACTGTTTGCCAGATGAGGCGCCTCGTGCTCCAGCTCCGTCTCAGCGTCTGCCTGCGCCTCTGCCAAGAAGGGAAGGGAGCTCCCCCCCAGTCGGGAAAAGACGGGTGTGCAGCAGAGGCAGGCCCCAGCCTGCACGACCGCCGATTGCCCTGCAGATGCTGCAAGTCACAACTTTTTTTGGGTATCCTCATGATCATGATTACGACTCTTTCCATTTTTCTTGTAACTATTATTCTGAGTATGCTTGTCATTGTTTTAAATTGTGTGGAGAACCCTGAGGCAGTACCCGGAGTCGCCATCAGCTGCGTTCAAACATGTGGCGGCAATCTTGAGATTCACGGCAAGGTGGACCGCAAGTGAACCGACCTTGTTCCAGCAAAGCCGATGCTGCGGCGGCGAGCGCGGCATCGCCTGCAGTCTCGCTACGTGACTTTAGGGCTTAGGGTTTAGGGTTTAGGGCCTTTTTTTAGGGTTTTGGGGTTGAGTGTAGTTACATGAGAACTACTGTCAATACACCGCAAAAAATCTGCCAGAGAGCACAACTGACAACCGACATCATCCAGCCACCTACACCAAGCGAAGCCCTTTCCAAGGCAGCTGCGATCTTGGCCAGCCCGCGTCCTTAAAAGGGGGTTTAGGGTTTAGGGCTTAGGGAGTAGCTGATTTTGCCAATGCCAATGCTCGATTGGTGAAGACAGCGCTGCCGGCTCTCAAGGAACCTTCCCATTTTCGGCACGGGCACGACATCCAACTCCACTACTTTCGGAAGCTGGGGCAGCGGACCACTAGAAAGCCGCGCATTGCTGTGCAGCAACCGCTCCAAGCAAACGTTGCAACGTTGCAAGCGCAGCGTGCACACTGTGTACAGGTTACAGGTGCTTAAACACTCCCGCCAGAAAACTATCCATCCACTCATTCTCCAGCTCATCGGATGTGCCATGGTCCTTGGCTGGCGTGTGGAGTGCAGAGTCTGCCTTATGAGCACCAAATCCGGAAAGATGCAAGCACATGCCATCGCTTTTCAGCGAAGCCCAGGATCAGCTCCATCGGCAACCTGGATGCTGACCTTAGTCCAGCCCGCAGCATGCAGCCGGCGAATGGCCGGAAGCACCTTTGATGTCACAATAAGCCTCAAGGCAGCACCCCACGACGAGCCATTGCGACTGCTGTTGGTACTGCGGCACTTTTTAACATCACCAGGGTCTCCAGCTCACCCGAAAGAGGTCAACAAGATGTCCCCCAGAATGTTCCGCACCCCATGGGGACGCAAAACTCTTGAAGCCAATGCTTACGTGCCACACTCAGGTGTCATCCACCTGCCTCCTGCCCGCCAAATAATGCCGCAAAGTGTCCCAATGTGTTTGCATCGTGTCATCTGCAGCCTCTTCATGTGTGTGCGGGCGTGTTTCTTGTCAGCACTGAACACTAGCCACAGCACACCGCACGTGCTCTTTGCAGGTCCATCACATTACAGCTGCACCCTGCTGTTCAGCAAAAACTGAAGACCCAGCCGGCAATAGCGCTTATTCATTGTGACAGGTAGCGTTGCAGTGCTCACGTCTCGGCTCGACCGTGACTGCAGCGCCAACGTGAATCTAACGCTGACGCTAGCCGAATATTACATGCTGCAGCGCAAAATTGCACAGCCAGCTTTGCAATAACAGCAGCTTGAGCTGCCATGCCTGCTGTCGTACCAGGTAAACGTGACAGGTTTTATGCAGTGCGACGTCTAGGTCACACAACGATTCTGACTTATAACTCATTGACAATTTCAAAAAGATCTCAACATCGTCAGGCTCAAAGTGTTGGCGGATAACTTCTGCAGATGGCGACCCCACCGGTGAGGGTGTGACATATCTGTCAAAATCTGCCACAAGAAGGGCATGAAAGGTTTCCTAGCTATCTGAGTAACCGCCTGGCATGTCAAATCCTAAATTGGATTCCAGAATCCAAAATTGTGTTATATCATTCTAAGGAAACCCCAGCAAGGGTACCCCATTCTTGGAAAAAACTGAAATCCAGCCAAAAAGGAACCCCCAGCGAGGGTACCCCATTCTTGGAAAAAAATGAAATCCAGCCAGGCGGCGGCATTGAAGAAGGAGCAAGGCACGTCTCGCTGCAGCGAGCTGTGCAGCGGAGTGCTTTTCAGAGGGTGGCCAACAAAGCCAACAAATCCTTGGGTTCACTCGGCGCTGTCTGAATTCCTTGGGTTTAGGTTTCGGGTTTAGGGGTCACGGTTTTTTGTGCAGGGTCCGGGTTTCGACTCTCACACTCAGACGCACACAAGGCAGGCAAGGTGTCGGTTGGTAGGTTTCTTCAGGTGACACACCACCACTCAATGACATGGGTGCTTCTGTTGGGTTTACGGGCATCAGGCAAATCGTTCATCAGGACCAACTAGTAACAAGAACCAAGAGTGAGCCAACACATTGCCCAATGCGGCAAGCTTTTGGGTGCTGACACATTCCTCCTTAGCATGCGGAACCCTAGGGTTCAGGGTTTAGGGTTTGGGGTTGGGGGTTGGGAGTTTAGGGTTTATGTACATCCTAAAAGCCTATATCATGCTAGGTCGCAATGTTTGCCTACCGCAGAAGTTTGGCTATCCGATGTAACACACCCAGTCCCGCTCTTCAACGCTGCAAAGCCCACGTCACCAGCACTTCGTGTCTTCGTATAGGGCCCACAGCACCCGAATGCCACTTTCGCGGCCATCTGTCCGTGCTTGCATGCATATGCTCGCTCGACATCAGCCCGCAGCTCTTACCGGTCCGGCCACCCAAACCTAGCCTCCTCAGGCGAAGCCTCCTCGAATCTCCCTGTCCGGGAGTTTTGGCATTATCCCCTGCACTCCTTTCTCAGCCTCCATCCACCATGCAGTGCACGTAGTCATGAACTTGGATCCCTCAGTTCATGCCGTGCTTGCATGCATCACTTGCATGAAGTCTCCACAGCTCCATCCCTCATTCGCCCCCTGCATCCCGTGCCGCTCTTGTGTCTGCGTCAGCGTCTTCTCCATCAAGCTTTCTGTTGACAGAGTTGTGCCGAGCTCTTTGGGTCGCCATGAGGGTTTAGGGTTGTTGCTCTAGGGCTTAGGATCAGACGAATGTCACGACAACGATGCACCTACACTGCTCACGCTGAGCAGGACCTCCAGGCCTCTAAAATTCTAGAGGCCCCAGCTGGAAACTAGAATTTTCTGGCATGCTCAATCCTCCTCCGAGGCAGAATGCTGGCAGCAGTGCAGCCGGAGAGTCCCCCTATTCTCGTCGGATGCCGCGCGAAGGCATCAAAGGCAGCACAGCAGCCCTGAGACGCGCCGCCCAAAAGGACCCGACCAGGGTCTCCCATGAGAGCAGCTTCCGCATCCACAATCCTGCAAGCAAAACCAGTGGGCTTGGCAAAAGTTGAGGGTTTCGGGTTTAGGGCGAAGACAAACAAAAGAAAACCGACCTGCACAGACGCAGCTCACACCGCTAGCAGCCTACTGCCTACCGCCAACCTTTTGCTGCTGCATCGGCGGCGGCCTTACCAGCAAATCACTGCGGCTAAGCTGCGCCTGGAGTCTTTGCTGCGTGGCGTGAAGGGAACGATCATCTATGTCATCCTGCCAAGATCACACAGACATGCTTGAGCATGGTCAGTGCGAGTCAATGCATTCACTGCGAGCTGCACAAGAAGCTCCGCCCCAACAGCACACGAACAAAAACACGTACGGGGCGTAGTCCTCCAGCGCGCCGTCGTGATCCGTTAGGTAGTCATACCACGCATTCCTCAGATGCGCAAAGCGTGTCTGCAGCTCACATTTATGCCATCGGCCCCGAAGAGCCAAGAGTCTGCACCTGGCCACCATGCGCCGTGATGCGCTGCAGCGGAGCAGTGGGAAGGATGACACGCAAACCCTGGCAGCGGAAGAGGGTGAATGCCTGGCGGGCCCCAAAAGTTGCAGGTCTGCGCTTTGCACGGTGTTGCCACAGGGGGGCACCTCGCTTTCGGAGTACATCTCGGCTGTGTTGCAGAAACCATGCAGGAACCTTGCAGCATCCGTGGCAAGCAAGCCCTGTGCCACACGTTCGAACCAAACTTTAGCACCTCCTGATGAGGCACACAAGCGATACGCGCGGAGCCAAATCCAATTGTGGTGGTAGCACAACACCTCACGCTCAGTACCACAAGCACCGAACTCGCAGCGGGCATTACATCCAGCAACGGTCTCCACACTAGTGCGCACCAGCGTCAGTTTGAGTCCATAGTCGGCAGCAACAACTGCGGCAACAGCTGGGCTCTGACGCCCTTCCGCGGCGTATCACACGCAGCACCTTGCAAACTGTGGCTTGTTGAGGTGCCACGTATCCTGCTGCTCTGTCAGTACGTTCGTCTCTCACCCGCGCACACGACATGTCAGTAGATTGTACCTTCAACGAGACACACTCGTCGCCCTCCCTCGCGATTCTTCGAAAGGCATCGCATTTCACAGCGGAACGGAAATTGGGTATTGGGTACATACTTTCGCAAGCACGGCAGATGTAGGGAATTGAAAACGGCCACGAACCATGTTTACTGAGATGCTGCAATGTTAGTTTCTCAAAAACCTCGCCAGAAACATTGTGAATATCTGGTCCTGTGCATAGTCGTATGCATACAAGCTGGTTGATTTGTCTCCCCGTTTCTGTGGTCGTTGCCTTGTTGTGTTGCTGTGCCGCCTGGAAACGGCTGTTTCGCGCAGGGAAATCCTGCACATACCACACGGGCAGGTGTTTAGGGTTTAGGGTTTAGGGTTTAGGATTTAGGGTTTAGGATTTAGGGTTTAGGGTTTAGGCTTACATTCTGGTCGAAGTCACTGTGGCAGCGATTGTCACTGCGAGAGTCTTAAAAGCCTCAAACGCAGCCCCTGGTCCAAAGTAGCACCAAAATGCTCAAAAAAGCAGAACAAAAACCAAAAAAGAACCGAAAAACAATAATAACAACGACAACAACCCGACAAAACCCGACAAAAAGTACACAAACCCTATACAATTTCTATGAACCATGCCTTGAGGGAACCCCTTTGTTGTTTCAGACCCTGATGTTGACTTACCTCGGGCGCGTTTGGCCCTTTATGCTTCAGGATTCGCGCAAGGATACACCCCCGTGGAACGATAAACGACGCACAATTGCACCCGTGTGCGAGGCATTGCAAGGCATGCAAGCGTCCTGACTGCGATGTCGCTAAGCTTGCTGCAGCAATCCACCGCCGGAGCGTTGATGAGAGTGCACACCGGGCATGTCCAGTCAGCGAGGGAGGCACCACAAGCTGCACAGCCTTTCAACCGGCTTTGCAGAACGAAACAAAGGAACGAACAGCAAGCTGAATCTCCAAGAGTCTGTAAAATAACCCTAAACCCTAAACCATTTTGAATAAACCCTAAACCCTAAACCCCAGACCCTAAACCCTGAGGGATTGCTACAGCGACCGAGGGGCACTGGGCCGGGGTCGGGTTCTGCAGCGTGCAGCGATGGCACACCACCTCACCTGGGCTGCCTGATGCAACCCTGGGAAGGCTGCATCCCGCCCGAAGTCGCTTTGCGGTAGATGTGCGTAGACCCGAAGCCGAGCCTGGCAACACTGCGCAAGGTTTTTTTCCCACCCGTGTCGCATGCGTGTACGGGGAAAAGGTTTAGGGTTTAGGGTTTAGGGTTTAGGGTTTAGGGTTTAGGGTTTAGGGGTTGGGGGTTGAGGGTTGAGGGTTTAGGGTTTAGAGTTTAGGGTTGCCCTCCAGACTTTTCCGAAAATCGGCACAGCCTTTTCGCCTTTTCGGCATGGGCTCCATGATCTGGCTCCGGCAGAATCTCTACATGCGTGCTACATGGTGCAACTTTGGATAAGTTTAGGGTTTAGGGTTTAGGGTTTAGGGTTAAGGGTTAAGGGTTAAGGGTTAAGGGTTAAGGGTTTAGAGTTTAGAGTTTAGGGTTTAGGGTTTAGGGTTTAGGGTTTCGGGTGGATAAGTTTGGGGCAGGGACCTCCTCCTAACTCCGAAAGATCAGCAACTTGCAACGTTTCCGCAGCTACAGGTGCTTGGCGATGCTTGGTGAACCTAAAGTTCGTGCTGGTTGGCTACCATGCACATCGCAGGCCAGGCGCTGCGTACGTGGACTGATGTGGACTAGTCGAGGGCGTAGTTGCCCGAAAAGCTGCGGCGAAGCAAGGCAGGCAACTGCGAACATCAGATCAGGGACCGCAGAGTGTTGTTAACAAGTTGCGCCGCAGCCACACAAGCCCGACACAAGCGAGCTGTACTCCAACTCACCACAGCAGCAAGTGGCCCTTTCGGGCATGAACTCGGTGGGCGGCAGGCGCCCATCAAGCTTCTCTGCCCATTCGAGCTCCTCAGCTTGCGCGCACCCAGGAGCCCATACAAAGCTAAAAGCCCTAAACCCTAAACCAGAACCCTAAACCAGAACCCTAACCCTAAGCCCTAAACCCTAAACCCTAAACCCTAAACCCTAAACCCTAAACCCTAAACCCTAAGCCCCAAGCCCCAAGCCCTAAGCCCTAAGCCCTAAGCATGGACTCGCAAAGCCGTCATCCAACGACAAAGGAGGTCCGGGCTCATGGTCTAGCTTGTGGTTCGGGCCCAGCGGCTTCTCGCAGCTGTGAGGCAGGGGCTGCCATCCCAATGCGAGTAGGGTTTAAGGTTTAGGGTTTAGGGTTTAGGGTTTAGGGCTTAGGGCCGCACTACATCTTGCAGCTACGCGTCAGAAGATCGCTACGAAGTTCCCTCCGTGCACTACTGACAGCTAGTGAACCAGCATGTTCGAGCCGCTCCATGGTGCAGCATCTGAAACTGAAAGGAGCCACAAGGCTGCAGAAAGAGTTTCTTGCTGCGATTGCAGTGCGGGGGAAAGCTACTACCGGGCAGCAACCTGGACACTCCTGCTCTCTTCCAGATTCTGCAAAGGGCCCTAAACCCTAAACCCTAAACCCTAAACCCTAAACCCTAAACCCTAAACCCTAAACCCTAAACCCTAAACCCTAAACCCTAAACCCTAAACCCTAAACCCTAAACCCTAAACCCTAAACCCAACGCCACGTTGCACGTCCCTTTTGCTTCAAGTCGCGACCAGCTGAGGTTTCAGCTGGATGTCTCGACGCTCAGCTTGTAAAAACAGAGATAAAGTTACAGAGTCGCAGGATTTCACGGTCTCTCCTTTTTAAAACGTCGTTGAAAGCTCCGGCAGGCATGTGGCCTTGATCTCTCATCCCACGAAGGGGACCTACATAGGGTTTAGGTTGGGATGTTCCCTCCCCCTTATACTAACAGCTCCTTCAGAGGGATGATCGTACCCCCTCCTATCATCCCTAGTCTGTTCGCACAAGGGGGAACATCCCAAGGTTTAGGGTTTAACGGGCGGGCCACTTCTTGCGCATCCCAAATGCTGAGCTCCGCAGAGACAAGAAGATACTTACAACGCACATAAAAGAAGCAACAACAAGCAAAGAACGGTGAGATTGTATTCTGGACTAGTGTCCGGATGTGTGCTTGTGTTTGTCCTCATGCTTTGCGCTTGCTTGTCTGCGTCGGTTGGTTGGTTTGTTGGTTGCTTGGCTGGCTGGCTGGTTGGTTGGTTGGCGTCCGCTGTTTTTAGGCGTTTGGTTGTTGGGTCTGTGTGTGTGGTTGTTTTTTCATGGGTCAGCCGAAGGAAAGTCTTGCTTGTTTGCACTTCCAGGGAAACCATCCTTCTTGCAGCGTTTTTTTCGGCGACAAGATAGGGGTGGCCTTGGGGTGATACCGCATCCTTGATACATCATAGATACATATATGGGCGTGCTTGTACACACACAACTATGTATGCGCACAATGTATGTGGACAATACTGTTCTGCCAGCTGCCTGCAAACTTCTGAGAAGGCTGGAGCTGCCGCCCACAGGGCAATTGCATGGAGCACGTCGTCAGCGCACAACCTCTTGCAAGGTCCCCACAAGGAAGGCTCTACTCTGTTACTGTCCTGATAATAAGGTGTTGCAGGTGCTTCATGTTCCTGAAAACCATGCTGTGCGGACCAGGTGTTATCACACATGTTTCCCCCGACTGCTGGATCGTGCTCTAGCGTGACAAGTGCTCCGAACTTAGCACTTTCTTGACTGCGCGTATTACATACAATGTGCATGCCACTCACGCCACTCGCTCGTGGAATAGCTCACAGGCGGCGATCTCTGGTCATAACAAGTCTGGACGGTGGGATGATGAAACTAACAAATGCATGACTCGGTCGACCTTCTTCGAAGGCACCGAATCCCCGCCCACCCCGTAAAAGAGTGTTCCCAGCTCCTCTATAGTGCTAAGACAACCATTTGCGTAAGAACCCCCAAACAAATCTTCCTTATGGGGGGGGGCAATATAATACAGGGATTCTGACACCTTTTGCTTGTAGGGCGCCCCGAAGGCTAAGATGCTCGAGGTGGGCAGCTGGCTCGTGCGCTCTGCATCAGAGCTGGTGAATGCAACATGTACAAGCCCACTCACAGGCCCAGCGAATTTGTTGAAACGGCACTTGTTGCCCAGGCTGTACCACCAAAGGGTCGAAAAAAAGGAGCAACCGAGGAGGGTGAGCTCGGAGAGCCCAGCCCTCATCCTCTTGGGCTCAAGGAGCCGAAGATTCAATCCAAGGTTCGGTTCAGCGGAGTCGGGCCCGCGCTTTGCTGAGTATCGACACTTTGCACACTTTGACTTTGAAGCGTCTGCAAGGACGGAGCACCCTTCATCAGCAAGGTCGGGAAGCCTGCCTCAGACCTTGGACGCCATCCCAGACGTGCGCAGAACGATCGAGCACCCACCCCGCCCCCCCTCTCCCACGGAATTCTACTAAAGCAGGCCTAAACCCTAAACCCTGAACCCTGAACCCTAAACCCTCAACCGACAAGAAAGCCTAAACCCTAAACCCTAATCCTAAACCCGCAAGTCCTGCGGACGTTTTGCGTTGCAGCAGAGATGCGCGTGCGTTGGCGACTGTAAGCCGCTCGCCTCGTCCGCCCGTCTCAGCTTCTCAACGCCTCGAGCCACTGCTGCTGCGAGTGCGATTCTGTTCCCCATGGACCCTTCAACATCTACGATGGCATCTGGAGACATGGAAGAGAAGTCTCCTGGCAACCAAGCGGCAGCTGGGTTCACGAGGGATGGAAGTGGCAACTGCCCGTATGGGTGCTCTCGACGTACTTGCTGCTCGTGACGAGACTCGTCGCGCTGTGACCCGTAAAGCGGTGCTCGCAGTGGATCCGGTTTCGGCCTGAGCGCAAAAGCTCAAGCCTTTTGGCATCCGGGCTCTTTGTGTATTCCCAGAAACTGCCCCCAAGCACAGGCTCAACCCTAGAACCCTAAACCCCAAGCCCTAAACCCTAAACCTTACACCTCTGACTTTTTCTGGCCTGGCTGTAGTTCATGCTGTCCCGCCGATCGGCAGCTGTGGAAGGTGCCTGCATTGCATTGGCTTGTAGCAGTTCAATGATCCGTTGCGCCCCTTGCACTAAAAATAAGAATACACTGTATTAATATAATAAGATGATAATAGAGTACTATACTGATTAGAAAATATCACATTATAGAAATCTAGCTACATAACAATATATGATATAACAATACAACGGTATAGTTATAATAATAATGATATAAATAATGGTAAGAAAAATAATGATGACAACAATAATGTCAGCGTATGTCAATATAACAAGAACAATATCACAACATAACAACATAACAATATAACAATATAAGAATATAAGAATATAACAATATAAGAATATAACAAGATAAAAATATAAGAATATAAGAATAAAAGAATATAACAATATAACAATATAACAATATAACAATATAACAATAGAACAATAGAACAATAGAACAATATAACAATGTAACCATATACCAATGTAACAGTGTAACAATATAACATATAGAAATACCTTGATATAGTCGTATACTAATATAATCATAGACTACGAAAACAAGTTTAACCATATAATGTTAAAAATAGTAGGAGTATAACCATATAAGAATATGAAATAACCATAAAACCATGTAACATGTATGAAAACAACATAATAACAGAGCAAAAATCTTAGCATAAGAACAGAAGAACAGAAGAACAGAATAGAAGAATAGAAGAATAGAAGAATCGAAGAATCGAAGAATCGAAGAATCGAAGAATCGAAGAATCGAAGAGTGGAAGAATGGAAGAATGGAAGAATGGAAGAATGGAAGAATGGAAGAGTGGAAGAATGGAAGAATGGAAGAATGGAAGAATGGAAGAATGGAAGAATGGAAGAATGGAAGAATGGAAGAATGGAAGAATGGAAGAATGGAAGAATGGAAGAATGGAAGAATGGAAGAATGGAAGAATGGAAGAATGGAAGAATGGAAGAATGGAAGAGTGGAAGAATGGAAGAATGGAAGAATGGAAGAATGGAAGAACAACGGAAGAACAACAGAAGAACAACAGAAGAACAGCAGAAGAACAGCAGAAGAACAGCAGAAGAACAGCAGAAGAACAACAGAAGAACAACAGAAGAACAACAGAAGAACAACAGAAGAACAACAGAAGAACGACAGAAGAACGACAGAAGAACGACAGAAGAACGACAGAAGAAAGACAGAAGAAAGAATGGAAAGAATGGAAAGAATGGAAAGAATGGAAAGAATGGAAAGAATGGAAAGAATGGAAAGAATGGAAAGAATGGAAAGAATGGAAAGAATGGAAAGAATGGAAAGAATGGAAAGAATGGAAAGAATGGGAAAGAATGGAAAGAATGGAAAGAATGGAAAGAATGGAAAGAATGGAAAGAATGGAAAGAATGGAAAGAATGGAAAGAATGGAAAGAATGGAAAGAATGGAAAGAATGGAAAGAATGGGAAAGAATGGAAAGAATGGAAAGAATGGAAAGAATGGAAAGAATGGAAAGAATGGAAAGAATGGAAAGAATGGAAAGAATGGAAAGAATCCTATTAAAAAGTAATAACATAGTTTTTCAACATAATATGCCAATAACCATGCAACAGTTAAAACATTATATCAACAAAATGAAACCACAGAATGATATAACCATATAAGAATACAATGATGTACTGCAAAAACTATACCCAAAAAATGACACTTTGATAATATATAGTAATATGACGAAAAAATAAATATAACCAGTGAATATTCTTACACAACATATCATAAACATGTAACAATATAGTAATATAGTAAATTAGCAAAAGAAACTCGAATACAATGTAACATTAATCTAACATTAATCTGATACTATTCTGACACTTTAATATAACAATCCTGGGCAATAAGAATGTAGAGTATTACACAAAACATAGTTTATAAACATAAACGTACTGATACATGAATGTGCAACAAAACTGTCATATAATATTACAGATATAGAAATATAGACATGCAATAAGAGAAAATATAAGAAGACTAATACAATACTGTATTAATATAAAACAAATATATTCATAGGATACTTTCAGCAAATGACACAACAACATAAACAAATATAAAACTGCAAACCTTAACTGTTTTAACTATAGACTGATATAGTTCTTCTTAAAAAATATACTCATCGTACTACTAATAGTAGGAATGGCAATGTACCTCAAAAGAACGATGTGCATCGAGCGCGCCCCCCCGCCTCCGATGCAGCCGGGGCTGCACTCGACGACCTCCGCCTGGCCTCGGCATAGATCACCTCGCGGACCGATGTGCGTTTAGGGTTTAGGGTTTAGGGTTTAGGGTTTAGGGTTTAGGGTTTAGGGTTTAGGGTTTAGGGTTTAATCTCAGTCTGCACGTAGGGGATAGGATTAGGGGGGGCTCTTGGGGATGTAAACCCTCTGAATAAGGTCCCTGTTCAAGAGAGCCAGAAGAGGGTTCAGAAGGGTTCCCTTTTTGAGGGTCCTCCTTATCCTACGTAGGAGCACGCTACGTGCTCGGGAAGTCTCGAGTGATTTCGGGCAAAGCCCCTACCGTCAGCATCCATGAGCCCTCTTGGGCCATGAGCCCATGAATCCGCTGTTAGCCACAAGTTCCTAAACCCTTTTGGCATAAACCCTAAAACCCTAAACCCTAAAACCCTAAACCCAAGACCCAAGACCCTGGGTTAAACCCCATTCCTAAACCCCAAACCGTAAAGCCCAAACCCTAAACCACCCAACCCTAACCGACTCAGTCTCCTCTCCTGTCAGCAAACCCAACCCTAAGAGGCCTCTCACTCTTTTTTCACAAGGGGGCTCGACTGCTGCCCTTTCTGCCCAGGCCGTTTAGGGTTTAGGGTTTAGGGTTTAGGGTTTAGGGTTTAGGGTTTAGGGTTTAGGGTTTAGGGTTTAGGGAAAGTTTAGGGCTTAGGGCCCCCGAAGCCTGGCTCCGCTGCGCTGGCTGCTCTGGAGTTCGGCTTCGGACCGAAGTAACCTGACCCAAGCACGAAAGCTGCGGGATAGCTGCTGGGCCAGGTTTCGCCAAATCAGCATATGTGCAAAGATTTATCTGGCTATGTATGTATGTATATATATATATATATATTATTTTTCATCTCAAAGTCATTTATTGAAAACTTCTAACTTAAAAACTTCTAACTTGCATGTATATTGACATTTTGCATAATAAGCCTTTATATTTCACGATTACTATTATTATTAATATTATTACTATTATGATTACTATTATGATTACTATTATTACTATTATTACTATTATTATTTTTATTATTATTGTTACTATTATTATATATATATATATGTATGTATATGTGTATGTATAGGCTTATTCTTTGTTTCTTTATCTATATTCACATGGTTTTCGTCCGCGAAAGATGTCGGCCCGTCCTGTGCAGCACGCCCTTGACTTGCTGGACGTCGGGCCGTGACGGTGATGCGAGGCTGCTTGTCCGACGGCTGTGGGTTGGCTCGAGCTTCACAGCGGCTTCCTCTTCAGAAGCGCTTGTTAGGATCTTTGGGTTTTTTTATATTTTTGTGGGTTTAGGGTTGAGAATTTGGCGTTTAGGATTTATGGGTGGGTTTAGGGTTTAGGGCTTGGCGTTTAGGCATTGTGGTTGATAGGGTTTGTGGTGCGGGGGGTCTAGAGCCAGCGCCTATCACAACTGCCCGAGCTGGTGATGAAGTCGAAGAAGAAGATGCTGTGGCATCCGCTTTGCGGACGACTCGCACCGTGGCCGGCTCCCGCGACCTACAAAGGGCCGAGGATCCGAAGTCAAAAACAACAATGCCGACAACGACCACAACGACTACAACGACTACGACTTACTATTATTGTTAATATTATTACTATTATGATTACTATTATTACTATTATTACTATTATTACTATTATTACTATTATTACTATTGTTATTTTTATTATTATTGTTATTGTGGGCAATGACGATAGTACGGCACATGACAATAAGACAAGGCAACAACTTCAATGGCAACAACCACCATCGCGCCGCCCATACTTGAAACACCCAGCCTGGGCCTTCTTCCCTGCGAGCCCATGGGTACTCCCAGACTCTGTCCTGACCAGGGTTTAGGGTTTCGGGTTTAGGGTTTAGGGTGTACGAGTCTCCCATGGGGCACTGTTCAAGGAGAAGTTTGTGGGAGTCTATTTAGTCGCTCACTCTCGCACAAGGCAGGCAAGGTGTCGATATTAGGGGTACCGTATCGGAGTCCTTATTACAAGGGCATCTTACTATTTGGGGGTCTAGTTTTGGGTCCCCTATTTCGTAAACCCGCATTTGGGGTTGTTCACCAACTTGTGCCTGCGGTATCAGCACCAGTCCAATCCGTGGGACCAAGCGATGCTTGGTGGCGCTCAGATGACGGATCTCGGGATACACTCCTCTTCCTCGCCGGTACGTCCACTGGAATCACGTGAGCAGACGAGGAGTCAGTCTGAGCCAGCCAAGTGTAGAGGCTGTCTGGATTTGGGCTTTGTCCAGGCAAAGCCCCGCTGCCTGCAGTGTCACAACACCCTATAGAGATAGGATTTGGGGGGACCCTTGGGGGTATAGACCCTCTAAATAAGGTCCCTGTTTAAGAGAGCCAGAAGAGGAGTAAGAAGGGTTCCCTTTTAAGGGCCCCCCTCATCCTCCCTGCTCTGCAACCCTGGCAAAGTCTAGTTTTCTCGTCCAGTCCAACGTCTGCCGAGACGCCGTCGGCCATCTGCGGATGAGGATCTTCAATCCTGAGAAGCCCCCCGAAAAGAGAACGTCCTTCCGTGGGGTCCTAAAACGAGCTGACAACAGATCAGAACTAGAATCACTAGAACTCCCCTTTTGAGTAGCCTCATGAACCCTCCAAGCAGTAGCCGCAAAGGCTCCCAGGGGTGGGTGCAAGTTCACCGTGGCTCCGCCGCCGCAGCTCGCTGATGGCGGCATTGCTTAAGTTGCTGAGCTCGTCGTCGTCACGCTCACGCCTGGGGGGCTGGTTACGCTGGCTTCGCGCGAGGGTGAAGTTCGACGTCCCGGTCGCTACCCCCCTTGACGAGTAAAACTCTGAGGGCCCCTGAGGGCTCAGCGCAATCGGCACTGGAAGCTGCAGCTTCTGCTTTCCTGCACGAGCTGCACACCCCCATACATCCACAGCACAAGGCCACAGGGAATGCCCCCCACGGGCTGCGCTTACGGGCTGCGACATGGCTCCTCGCTCTGCTGGCACTGCCACTGGCGAGGGATCGTTGACGTATCCTGGTAGATCTGCATCAGGATCTCCTGCTCTGAACCCCTTTTGCCGGAAGCAGTGGTATCATAAGATCAGAAGAAGGACATAATGTTAGACACTTATCAGATGATATAATCTAGGGCTTGGGGGCGGGCATCTGCGTACCTGACTGAACCTGTTATGCTTTCACGGATAATGATTGAAGGCAGAGAGCTTCTAAGAAGTTTAAGATATTCTCAGTCTTCTAAACTACAGCGGTACATAGCGTATCTACCGTGACAAACATAGCAGGAGGTCACGGGACTGCTTCTACTGTTAACCCAATATCGAGCTGTAAACCTTACAGTTAAGACCACAGATATACAAAGACACAACTGTCCTGTATTCTCTTCCAATATTCCAAACCCTTCTAAACAGCAGAACTTCTTTGAGAAACCAACTTGAACTTCGATTGTGTTAACCAGCCCAATTAATGCAGTTACATTTCAACCTTGGGGAGTTGAACATCTAGTTGGTCAGGGTATAATAAATCCGATAAGTTCTGGTTGTTGATTCACTTGATACATGAGATCTTTTTTGGGATGTTTCAAGCCGTTCCCATTGTGGGCCAATGAAAATAACCAGGTTTCGGGTTTCGGGTTTCGGGTTTCGGGTTTAGGGTTTAGGGTTTAGGGTTTAGGGTTTAGGGTTTAGGGTTTAGGGTTTAGGGTTTTGTCCGAGATTCAGGACATGTGACTTGCCGGCCCTCTCCTGGTGGATTGTGGGTCACCACCTCTCGCAAGCTTGGGCTCTTTGGCACCTTTGGCACCTTTGCGGCCTCCTCGTCGACGGGGAAAACCTGCTCTCGGATGCGCAGAAACAAAGAACCATGACCATGCCCCACATACCCTAGCCCTAAACCCTAAACTCTAAACCCTTAACCCTAAACCCTAAACCCAAAACCCTAAACCCTCAAGCGTTTCAAGCCGGAGCCCTCCCAGAGGCACAACGCTGCACACAAAGCTGCAAGCTGGGGGCAGCTGCCTTCTTCAGCTTCGTTTCATGGACGCGCTTGTGCATCATGTAGATGCCTCCTGTGAAAGAGACGCATGTGCTAGGAGCAACCGCCCCAACTCTGCAGATGCTCTTGGCTCGCACATCTCGCAACAAGGCCTCCTGCACAGGCTGAGCCCAGAATAATCAGCGGCAAAGCGATGGCCACCGTCAAGAAGGTAATGCCCCCTTCATCCGAATCACCGGCGTTTGCGCTCCTGGTGTTTCAGGGGCCCTGTTTGGAACCAGTGCCCTGAAAATACTTCTCCTCATTCTGGCAGGAACCCTAACTTAAAGAACTGCAGCAAAGGTCCTGTGGAAGACGGTGTATGCACCTCCTCCTTGAGTTGTAGAGCAGCTGGCTCTCACACCATCATCATCCACAACCGTCAGCGCCACGTTCGAAGTCGTCCAAGACTTGGAGCCTGCAGCTGCAGGAAGCTGACGAACCCTCGCAAAACCTTTCTGGCCTCAAAACGTGGCAGTTCCACCCCCAGGCTCTTTGCACGTTGGCTTACCGTCTGGGTCTCATTGGGGGAGGGCATATGATCAGGGCGGCCCCCGGACCTCCCGGTCGGAGTTCGGAGTTCTGGCTCCGCTTCATGGCTGATCTTGCCAAGCAGTATGGGAGAGGGAGGGAGGGAGGGAGAGAGAGAGAGGAGGGAGGGAGAAAGAGAGAGAGAGAGCGACAGAGTGAGAGAGACAGAGACGGAGACGGAGACGGAGGCAGAGGCAGCGACAGCGACAGAAAGACATAAAGAAAGATGGAAATGAAAGACAGGGAAGGAGAGAGAGCGAGAAAGAGTACAAACCCCTATCTTATGCACATATGTATATGTCATGTTTTCATGCCTATGCAAAACAGCGGGGGAAAGAGGGCGACGGAGTAGAGCTCGCGGCCAAGCCAAAGCCAATTCAGCACGAAGTCCAAAAGCTGAGGGGTAGGGTGGAGCCCCAAGTCCGCCGAGGCCTCCGGCCGGAGGTGTATAGGTTGTCAGAACAGGCACCCCCCTAATCCTTCTTCTCAGCCAAACTATTTTTTCGGACCCCTTTTTTTGACTCAAATGGGTACCCCCCCCTAGGAAACCGGGGTCCGCAAGCGGACGGTTCGCCAGGACCAGAGGCAGTTGAAGCCCCTCCCAGCAGGGCCCCCCCTTTTCCCTCCACCCCACCCCCCCCCCCCCCCCCCCCCCCCCCCCCCCCCCCCCCCCCCCCCCCCCCCCCCCTGAGGGGCCTGGCTCAACTCTACGATCAATCCAAGCCGAACCGTCTCTTGAACCCTAAACCCAAAAAAACCCTAAACCCCAAAGGGTGAACCTTGAGCCCTAAGCCCTCAATCCTAAACTAACCCTCAACCCCAAACCCCAAACCATAAACCATAAACCCGGAACCCTAAACCCTAAACCCAACCCTTATTGCTTGGGGTCCAGCGACTTGGGCGCTGCGGAATCACCATGCTCGCGCGGATGCGCTGGGCCGGGCCGAGGCGGGTCGCGTAGCGTTAAAATTAGACCCCCCAAATGATGGGATTCCCCCCAAATGATGGGATTCCCTGATAGTGAGGACCCCCTAAGAAGGGACCCCCCCAAATATCGTGAAACCCCCCCAAATGTTGCCAAGGAGCTGGGATCGAAGTAGACGCAAATGAGCTGCGCCAGCGGGTCGTCCGTGGCCGGCACGATGACGCTGACGCTCGCCGTCGAACCCCGGAAGTTGATCGTGTCGCCACACTTCGTCAACCTCGACAGGGGAGCGCAAGTGCCACGAAAGGGCCCCCTAAGTTCGACACCGGGCTGCGCGACGACGGCGTCTCCCTGAGGAGGAGGCTCCACAATCGTGACCGTGGCGTTCTCCGACACCTCGCTGTTCGAACCTCAACTCAGGAACACCAAAACGGGCAGCAAGTCCTAAGTGCCATGAGATTGAGGATCTTATTATTATTGCTATTATTATTGTTATTCTCATTGTTATGATTATTGTGATTATTATTGTTATTATTAATAGTAATATTATTGTTATTATTGTTATTATTATGATTTTTTTTGTGTGACGCACAGGCGGCTCCGCGCCGTGTAAGGCAGGAGCCGAGGCTTGCATTGGCCCACGCATAGGGGTTGGTACCAATCCAGTCGGTGGACTGCAGCCCGACTGTGTCGCCTAAGGTTTAGGGTTTAGGGTTTAGGGTTTAGGGTTTAGGGTTTAGGGTTTAGGGTTTAGGGTTTAGGGTTTAGGGTTTAGGGTTTAGGGTTTAGGGTTTAGGGTTTAGGGTTTAGGGTTTAGGGTTTAGGGAGTTGCATTCCAGGATGGCTTTTTTATGCAGCCGTGGCACAAGCAGGACTGCTTTGCAACCGTCGAGCTCCAGCCAAAGCTGATGCCGGCACAGAGATGCTATGCGCATTGAGACCGTTCCTGCAGCTGGCATGAAGAACAAATGCCGCGAGAGACGAAAGCCTAGCGAGATATTGCTGCATGATCTTCCATAAAAAGCAAGAACGGCCGCTGTGCTGGGGCCGAATGTCTGCTGGACATCTTGGGCCGACTGCTTCTTGACCACCACCTGCGATCCTTTTCCGTCGGCACCGATGGAGGTCAGCACCTCCGTGGCGTTCACCGCGATGGAGTTCATCACCGACTGGCCCAGCTTCGACGTGAGGCCGATGAGCTTCTCCTCAGGAGCCAGGCACATGCAACCAGGGTTTGGGGTTTGGGGTTTAGGGTTTTAGGGTTAGGGTTTAGGGTTTAGGGTTTAGGGTTTAGGGTTTAGGGTTTAGGGTTTAGGATTTAGGGTTTAGGGTTTGGGGTTTGGGGTTTGGGGTTTGGGGTTTGGGGTTTGGGGTTTGGGGTTTGGGGTTTGGGGTTTGGGGTTTGGGGTTCAGGGTTTGGGGTTTGGGGTTTGGGGTTTGGGGTTTGGGGTTTGGGGGGTTAAGGGAGCTACGTCGGCTCATGATGCGCACGTAGAAACTCCGGGCGTGCCGCAACACTCATTCTGGGGCCGCCACCGTGGTCGAGGCCTTCTGCTCTTCGCTCACCGTGGTGGAGGCTGCAGAGCTGCCCGTCACCATGGCAGCGACGCTCCCGAGCAACGAATCACCGGCATCTTTGCTCATAGCCTCGAGGTTTAGGGTTTAGGGTTTAGGGTTTAGGGTTTCGGGTTTAGGGTTTAGGGTTTAGGGTTTAGGGTTCATGACCAAGGGGGCTTAGGGTTTTTTAGGGTTCAGGGTGCTGTTGGCATAAGGTTCAGGGTTGAGGGTTGAGGGTTTAGGGTTGAGGGCGGGACAAGAAGAATCTTTCAGCCGGTTCAGCATCCTATGAAGGCGAGGTACACCTGGCGTCAGTGCCGTTTCGAGCACAGTGTCCAGGACCGCCGCGGCTTTGTCAACGATGGCCCTTAGCAGTTCTTGGAGAATTGATGGAGGACAGCTTAAGGAATGCCAAGAGAGAGAGAGGATGCCAGGAACTACCGAATTCAGCCTGGTTTCGGGTCGGCTGTCGTACTTCCTTTGGACAACGTGCTGGCCATGACATCACCGACCTGCATCATTGCGCTTCCAAGCCCTGCAAAGAATGCGAGACACACCGAGGCAACCAGGCATTCCCCAGCAGGCCTTTTTCAGGCCAGAGCTCTCAGCCGATGTGATGTCGGCGGCCAGCTGCAAGGCATCAAGCTCTGCATTGACAACCTGGGCTTAAACCGCTAAAACCTCCCTAACCCCAAACCCTAAACCCTTTTTAACCTAGGACTGCTGAGACCCTAAACCCTGAACCCTAAACCCTAAACCCTAAACCCTAAACCCTAACGAGCTTAAAGGTGGCTCAAGGCTGGCATGGGAAGTTTGGACCCAGCCGCCGCTTTCTTGGTCTCCTCATCGCCATCAATACTCACCGAGCTGACAGCCGCCACGGCATTGAGGATACTGTCAGCCTTAGGGTTCAGGGAGGGTTTTAGGGGGTTCAGGGGTTCAGGGTTTAGGGTTTAGGGTTTTTTTCCCACCCGACTAGCCAGCAGCATTAGGGTTTAGGGTTTAGGGTTTAGGGTTTAGGGTTTAGGGTTTAGGGTTTAGGGTTTAGGGTTTAGGGTTTAGGGTTTAGGGTGCAGGGTTTCAGATGCAGAAGGGTTTAGGGGTTTAAGGTTTAGGTTCTCTTGCGGCTTCGGGCGACCATTCACAGCAACAGTCCCCCACCGTTGCGGTGCTCCATCATGGCCGGGAGTCCCAACCAGGCAGGGTTGCGGTTTAGGGTATAGGGTATAGGGTATAGGGTGTAGGGTTTAGGGTTTAGGGTTTAGGGTTTAGGGTTTAGGGTTTAGGGTTTTTTTGGCCACCCGCCAAGCAGTCCAGCCGCACCACAGGGTAACATTTCGGGGCGCTGTACAGTTTTAGGGTTTAGGGCTCAGGGTTTAGGGTTTATCTCGAGACCGGCAGCAGAGGCTTGTTGTCTACAACGTGAAAAAGGTAGGTACCAAACCATCGGCAGTGCTTCCCTATTGGGTGTCTTGGCGCAAACCAGAGACAAGATCTGCAAAGGCAGGGGCTAGGTGGCTAAGTCATCTTGATCCAAATTGATCCCAGGGTCAGACGCATGTGTACGGAATCAACGCAATCCGTTGGCGAGACCACGGCATGATCACACATGGGGGTTTACGACAATCAGGGACCCCGAAGATAGACCCCCAAATAGTCGGATCTCACACGGACCCCAATAAGGTAACCCCCTAGTATCGTAAAACCCCCACATGCAGGCGGGTCACGTTGCTCTGTGCCGACGCGCTGGCCAGCGCTGCGACGGCGACGTTTGGGTCCACGCCACCCACCGGTTGCGAGACCAGGGGCCCCATGAGCCCCGTGGCCCTGCTTGCACCCAGGTGGTCACCTTGTTCAAGGAAGGGGGGGGGTTTAAGGTTTAGGGTTTAGGGTTCAGGGTTTAGGGTTTAGGGTTTAGGGTTTCGACTCTCACGCCAGCTCACGCAGGCAAGGTGTCGGTAGCGTTTAGGGTTTAGGGTTTAGGGTTTAGGGTTTAGGGTTTAGGGTTTAGGGTTTAGGGTTTAGGGTTTAGGGTTTAGGGTTTAGGGTGCGCACTGGTGGGGGCACCATACTGAGCTCTGTTTTGTACAGGCATTCAAGTGATGCTCGGCGCCCCACGAGCACGCACCACCGTCACGTGGGATCCCAAGGCCATCGGGCTTGATGCCGTGGGCGAAGGAGACCTCAAGGCGTTTGGGAATGGAGCAAGAACCCACGCCTGATTCATGTACCCTAAACCCCAAACCCCAAACCCTAAACCCTAAACCCCAAACCCTGAACCCTAAGAGCCGGCAACACCCTGAAGCTGATGACGCTCTCCGAATCCTAAATTTTGGTCCCCTATGTATATATATATATATATATATTTATTTATATTTATTTATTTATTTATATTTATATTTACATAGCACGGTACCCTTGAATGGGGTTTCCAGGTTTCCGAAAGTCGGGGTACCATTTTGGGGGTCTGTATTTTTAAAGGAATCCTACTATTTGGGGATATTTGGGGTCTATCTTAGGGGTCCCTGATTATCGTAAACATAGCACGGCACCCTTGCAATGAGGACCCCTGGAGGGACCCTAATCTAGAGAACCACCCCAAATTACCCAGACGAGACGGCTGGGGATCAGGCCAAGAGCGCAACGTCACGCCATTGAGCTTCGCCCAGTGATTGGGACTCGACGAGTCCTCCCACCTGCATGCGCGTGTCGGTCGTCCCAAGGCTTAGGGGCAAGGACGATGCATGCACAAGAGTCTGCAGCTCAGGCACTCAATGGCTGCTACCGCAGTGGCCGTGTCCCACGGATAGGACAAGGCCAGCAGATCATCCAGCTTGAAGTCAACAAACTCCTCAAGTGAGCTTCAGCACTGGCATTGCTCTCTGCTCCGAGACGCTACAATGATGGTACAAGAAAGCCTGAAAAAAAAAAAACAATCGAGAACAACATTATGGGTTAAGGGTGAAGATGTCCGAAGGGCATATTCCAGCGTGGTCGGCTGTTCATCCTGCCAGCCCACGGTTTCGAACTCAAACCTGGCCGGCGCAGCTGCAAAAACAAAGGAAGAGACTCCAGCCCGCTATGGGGAAGCCCTACTTCAAGGTTCATTGGTACTTAGAAGTAAGGTTGTAAGTAGCGCCCGCAAAACCTTCCTTCTCATCTCATCCAAGGCACGTTGTCACCACAGCGTACCCCTCTGCAGGTGTCACGTTCACTGCGTTCTCTGCTCGAGCTGAGGGTGGCCCGTCTGCCAGGAATCGATTGCCGCGCACGGCCGACATGCCGCCTGCAGGGCTCCACACGGGAGGAGTGGGGGGGGGCAACTGGGGAAAGAGAGTCCCAAAACAAGTGGGTAACCCTTTGGTGCCCTTCTCGTGTTGGGGGGCTTGTGCTATAATCAGTATTCCGGCAGATTTTTGCAGGGACGTAGTTACTGGCTTCGGCAGAATGCTTAGCATGCCAAGGGTCCTGCAGAGACGGCGGTGGTCAGTGTAGAATAAGCTCCATTGCGCAAGTCTCTAAAGAGCACGCTGGACCCGAACATCATCACGTACTCGTAATAGCTGCCCGGGACCATCTGCGACCCATCAAAAGATGCGATCGTCAACTCAGAATATGTCTGATTGCCAAATCCCTGCGCGTCCTGGGAGGCATCTCAGGGGACTTTCCCTGGCCTACCATATCCACATTCCACGCGGAAGTTGCACATGCATCACAGAACGATTGCTCTAGCTCTCTCCCACTCTCTCTCTCTCTCTCTGCACTCTTCTTCTTCTGCCCAGCGCACTCTCTCTCTCTCTCTCTCTCTCTTTCTTTCTTTCTTTCGTTGGGGCATGGGGGTGGCCCCCCGCGCTGATGCGCGCCCCCGTCCGTCTGCGAATCAGTACTCGCTAGACTCGCAAGCAGCCGTGTTGGCTGCAACAGCCTTACCTGCCGGAAGCCCGGTGTCGGCCCCCCGCGCTTTGGCACTCTCTCTCTCTCTCTTTCTTTCTTGGGGGCATGAGGGCACGGGGCCCTTGCGCGATGCGCGCGCCCCAGCATTGCGGAGCGGCTTTCACGGTATGTCGTGTGGACACACGCCTGTTTAATGGTATGTCTGTCTGTCTCTCTCTCTCTCTCTCTCTCTCTCTCTCTCTGAATGGAGGCCCAAGGGTCTATGACCGACAGAATTCGTCCAGAGGCCGACTCGACCAACACCCACGTCCATGAAGTCAGTGGCGGAACAGTGCAAGCAGCCGAACCCGACACCACGGCCGTGGGTGACACACCTCAGCAGCTTCATCGAGCCACACGAAAGTCTGGTCCAGCCACTCTACAACTGACCTCCCCCCCTAGGGTCTTTTTCCCACCCGTGTCGCAAGCGTTTACGGGGAACCTAGGGGGTTAGGGTTTAGGGTTTAGGGCTTAGGGCTTAGGGCTTAGAGGGCTTCATAAAGCTGAGGAAGGTGCTCCAACCCACTTGGGTCGAAACGGCACTGCCATTGACCCAAGGAGTTGCAATCAGCACGGGTGGGAGTCCGAAGAAGTTCAGCGTGACCTTGGCCATCACTCGCGGGAGTGGTTGCGGCTTTTTGTTGCTTTTTTTTGCTGTTCGGGGGCCGGGGGGGGAGGGCCCGGGGGGGGGCCGGGAGCTACAACAACCATAAATTACAGCATCTTCTTCTGTAGTTTATAATAAGACAATCGACATCTCCGAGTTAGGCTGGAAGGAACTCTGTTACCTCTCCATTTGAACCTCTCCATCTGAACAGCAAACCTCCATTTCCCCACCAGATTTCAAGATGCCTCGATCTATCTCAGTGATTCTTGAGTGCTTAACAGGACATAAGGATAATCAATAGGAAACAAGAGTACTTAATGGAAAATGAATCCAAAACCTCTATGCTTCTTTCCTGGGGCAACTCTGCCTTGTTTCGAAAAGCCCCTTTAGCTTATGTGCATTTAGATAGGGGCGATCCATTCTCTCTGCATGTTAACGTAAGAACCTCCACTGCTGTAAACGGAAACCTACAACTTCTCGACCTCTATACTTTCGGCCTAAGACGAAGAAATGGGGACGTCTCTCTGACGCAGCGCGTCTCCCACCACTTAGACACCAGAGATAACACCACTGGAATTTGTCGAATGTAACGGGGGTCGCAGGTGGAGGAGAGGTCCCTGCCAAAGTATGCTGTGGCTTTTTGCTGCGTCTGAAGAGGAGCTCGTGCTCAGCTTCGTAGTGTCATTGAAAAAACTTGACGAGGATGAGAAGAGAAAGGTTTGTAAGAGACCTGCAAGGCATTCGTTGTTCCTAGAAGTGCGAGGGCGGTTGGGGTGAACCCTAGAAACCCTAAAACCCCTAAAACCCTAAACCCCTAAAACCCTAAAACCCTAAAACCCCTATAAACGGGGGCGCGGTCCCCTTCTTCCCATTTGCCGGCATGGAATGCCTTATACGAAGTTGCTGAAGGGACTTGGCTTCATGGCTGGAGCGTACATGTGCTGAATTCCTCTCACGTCACCCAACCTGTGAGAGTGGAAAAACACCAACATGACCATCGTCCAGGCAAAGCACGGTAACGGAAGCCTGCCCTGCGTCCGCTTCAGTCTGGTCGCGTCTCCAAACGAGCACCTGGTGTCTCACGGAGTTCTGCGGGAGGATTTCCAGGTTCCGGGACATTTCGCAGCTTGTGGTAGTGCATACTTCGCAGGTCGCTCAGGGTCGCAACCCTACGCTTGAAATTGCATCACAACGCCCATGGGATCCGATTTTGACACGTGCTGGACGAGCAGCACTGAAGGTGTAGGATCCTTCCTGACGCAAAGCACCAGACAAATTTGCGGCAACAAATCACCTGCCAACTTTAGCCCCGCATTCAGCAAGGGCATCAGACCAAATGCAAATCTTGCGAAGTCCTCCAGGGTGCGCCCTGGCACTGTCAGCGTAGGCGAATCCGCTGTCAACGTGCTGCAAGCCTGCAGCTGGAATGATCACAGCACAAAGTACAGATCATACAACCATTAACTGCCACCCCATGCTGTCCATCACAGCCAAGTTGCGGCAGAGTATTCTCCTAGACTTTCGCAGGACCACTTGTACCTCAGAAGGATGTGGGCATTGTGGGCATGACGGCTCGAGATCTGCAAGGGCATCAACTTCGTCTCTTGCGCCATTCAATAATTGCTCGTTGAGACGGAGCACCGAAAGTTCGGGGTCAGCCACGGAGCCAGCGACGGGTCTTGCGACGCCTCTCACGCGCACTGAGCAGGCAGAACGAAGCACACAAGCTCGGAGGACGAGGACATGAAAGCCTCTCACATCACTTGTGCCCCCTTGCTCACGCCCCTGCTGCGAATTTCCAGTCGCCACTTCCGGCTGGATCCCTGTCTTATTCCTGGCGAAGGCCCGTCAAATCTTAGCCCGAGATGCATACTCTCTCGTGCTCATGAGGAGGTTTCACAGTGACAGCGTGACTCTCTTTCCACCTGGCCATCTCTTGCATTTGTTGTGTGTGTGTGTGTTCATGCCTTGCACATCATCGAAAACTGAAGTTTCAAAAGCAGAAAAGCACCCCCTACACCCTAAACCCTAAACCCTAAATCCTAAACCCTAAACCCTGTCTCAACAGCCCTGCCTCGGCTGTCACGTAGAAATCACAGCTGGCCGCAGTCTCGGCAGGGCCCTGTACAATGGCGATCGGCGTCAATCCTGGGATTCCCGCGCCAATGGTGGCACGACCCTAAACCCTTTTTTAACACGGACCTCTGAAGCCTGTCCGGAGTCCCCTCAAACCCACAACCCACTGAGGCCCTAACCCTAAACCCTAAACCCTAAGCCCTAAACCCTAAACCCTAGTAATATTTCCCCCTAATATCGTTAATCCCCCTATGGCCCCAATTTTAGGGACTCATCAGACACCGGGTAAACCCTACCAACATGTGGATTGCTACCCCTACCGAGAAAAACTGGCGCTAAACTTCCCGGATCTAATTTGCATCAGCACAACAAGGACAAAGGATTTTTAACATTAAAAAGACCCTAAACCCTAAATGGGTTTTTTGACGTTAAAAGACCCTGAATCGGACAAAAAAGACCCCAAACCCTAAATGGGTTTTTTAACGTTCTAAAAACCCCTAAATGGGACAAAGGTGCGGGGCAGCACGCCCAGGTCGAAGGTCGCAACTCGCGTGTTCTCGGCCACGGACGTGAAAGCACCTCCCGTGGCGCGAGGGGCATGGCATGAACATGGTGAACGCTTGCGACCCTAAAACCCAAAACCCTAAACCCTAAACCCGAAACCCTAAACCCTAAACCCTACCTGCAAAGTAGGCGGTGGCCCGAAACGAGTGGGAGGAGTTCGCTTCGAAGCTGAACGGGGCGAAGTTGATGACAAACCTCGACGCCGGCTGGGCACTGCGCACAGCTTCGCAGAACTTCGGCGCGTAGCATAAGCCCTAAACCCCAAACCCTTTTTTGCTTCTGGGTATACGGTTTAGGGTTTGGGTTTTTAACCCCAAACCCTAAGCCCTAAACCTAACTGTCTACGAATCAAAGCCTGAACTGTTGAAACCAGGTGCTGTGACACACACTTGCCTGTCACGGATTCATTTGGTGGCACAAAACCACCCTATTCCATGATTCGACTATTCTGCTATATCATTCTATTCTTCCATCATTCCAGTATTCGATTCTTCTATAGTTCTATTCTTCTATCATTCCATTGCTCTATTCTTCTATTCTTCTACTAGTCCAGTACTTGCCTATTACTTCTACTACTACAGTCCGATTTTGCTGGGATGAGAACCAGCCAAAAACATGTGCGAAGCGAAGTCACGGTGAAGCCACCGTGTCCACCAAGGACCCAACCTGGGCTCAGCGAGCTTCGTTTGGATGTGTGTTTCCACCCACACATACAGATATAAATATATATATATGTACACATATATATATATGCACACACACACATATATATATATATAGATATATGATATAGATATAGATATAGATATAGATATAGATACGGAGACAGATATAGATATAGATATAGATACAGATATATATATGTATGTATATATACCCGTGTATATATATATATACAGATATGCAAGCTCACCATGTGTGTATCAAATATGTATATACATATCTGTGTAAGCTCTTTATTCGTATTGTTGTTACTATTCTGTTTATGCTTAAGAATCGTGCACATATAGGTAGATACATATATATATATATATATATATATATATTATACGCATACATCCTTCTGGTGCAGACTCCGGCAGAATCCCACCACCAACTTGCGCCAAGGAACGTCGGCAAGCTTGACCCACGAGTTGGTTGTGGTGTTGGTATACTCCCAATCCACTTCGATGATCCGGTTGTAGCCTTACAGCGCTTTGGCAAGGTGGTGCTTGCATATGGCCAGATTCCTTCACGCATCTTCTTGGCTCAACCTCTAGCTGCTAGGCTGCCAAGGAGCGATCAGCATCCGAGCATGTGGCATCTTCCAGCAACACGGTCTGCAGGCTGAACTCAACCTGCAGATCAGGCGTGGAGAAGGCAGCAGCCAGGCAAATTGGCCCAAAGCCATGACAAGGGAATACAAGAGAACAAGAGCCTCCTCACTGTTCAAGATGGTGGCACTTGCTGGGCTTGCAAGCACGACTTGCGGAGCCTCTCAGAGGTGCAGCGCTCTGATCTGTGTCTACTGTTTACTTCAGGACCTCAAAAGAAAATTGACACTGTAAGGAAGGATATGTCTTTTTTTTTTGGGGGCGGGGTTCTTAAACAAACCGTAGGTATGGCTCTGCTCTCTCAGCATCCCGTCCTGGTCAACCCGCACGAAGGCATTGGAAGTGGTCACGGTCTCCACACCAAGCCAGTTTCTGACTGCAGCCACAACCTCCAGCCGCAATGTTGGAACCTGGTTGGAGCTTCCGTTGCTGCTGCTTTGGTGCCACTTTTTTCCTAAACCCTAAACCCTAAACCCCAAACCCCAAATGACTGCAGGTGACCTCGCCAAGTTCCTGGAACACGGCATCCACGCCAGCGTTAAACTCGGCAGCCGAGACGGTCAGGACCAAGGAATCCTCGGAACTTTCGGTGCCTTCACTAAAAAACTAAGAGACTAAGAGAAGAAGACAATGAAATCATATTGTAATAGGAAAATAATAAGTTAATAAGACTAATAGCACCGAAACGCCCCGAGAGGCGGCACCCGAGGAAACGACAGGAATGAACGATAGCTATTGCTAGATTCTACCTTCATTCTTGTTATCTCACTATGTTACTCTATGAACTTATGCTTCTACAAGTATTTGATTGTGGTATCGTATCATATGGTGATACTGTTATCGTATTACCGTAGTATCTTCATGCATTATTGTCTTACTATCTAAATATGATATTCTCAGATAATCAGATTACCTTGTTGTAGTATTTCATACTTGCCTGGTTATCTTTTTCTCGTATTATCTTACTATCTTATTCTCCTATTATCTTAGCATCTTGTTATCTTATTATATTTTATCTTATTCTCTTATTATCTGGTTATCCTATGATCCTATTTTCTTAATATCTTATTATCTTATTATCTGGGTATAGTTTTATCTTACTATCTCATTATATTATTCTCTGATTCTCCTATTATCTTATTATCTTAATATTTTATTATCTTATTATCTTATTATCTTATTATCTTATTATCTTATTATCATATTATCCTATTATCTTATTATCTTATTATCTTAATATTTTATTATCTTATTATTTATTATCTTTATTTCTTATTATCTTACTATCTTATCTTTATTATCTTATTATCTTATTATCCTACTATCTTACTATCTTATTATCTTATTATGCTATACCGTATGCTCATTGTCTTCTTATCTTCTTATCTTCTTATCTTCTTATCTTCTTATCTTCTTATCTTCTTATCTTCTTATCTTCTTATCTTCTTATCTTACTATCTTATTATCTTATTATCTTATTATCTTATTATCTTATTATCTTATTATCTTATTATCTTATTATCTTGTTATCTTATTATCTTATTATCTTATCATCATCTTAAGACTTTATCATCATCTTAAGATCTTATCATCCTTTTATCTTATTATCTTACTATCTTATTATCTTATTTCTTATTATCTGATTATCTTATTCTCTCAATGTCTCATTATCTTGTTATATTTTTATCTTGTCGCTATCTTACTCTCTTATTATTATATTATGGTTTCATTCTCTTAGTCTCTTAGTCTCATAGTCTCATAGTCTTTTATTCTCTTCTTCTCTTCTTCTCTTCTTCTCTTCTTCTCTTCTTCTCTTCTTCTCGTCTTCTCTTCTTCTCTTCTGCTCGTCTTCTCTTCTTCTCTTCTTCTCTTCTTCTCTTCTTCTCTTCTTCTCTTCTTCTCTTCTTCTCTTCTTCTCTTCTTTTCTTCTTCTCTTCTTCTCTTCTTCTCTTATTGTCATTCTAACTCACTACGCATGGGCAGGACGAGTCTCTTGGTCACTGGCCAGTGCAAGAACGCTTGCGAGAGAGTTTCCTCGGCAGCTGCTCATGCAGAACCAGACCCCCAGACCTGGCCGCCTCCGCGAAGCCTTGCTAAGCCTGCCTTTTCAAGCGGGGGTTCAGGGTTGAGGGTTGAGGGTTGAGGGTTGAGGGTTGAGGGTTGAGGGTTGAGGGTTGAGGGTTGAGGGTTGAGGGTTGAGGGTTGAGGGTTGAGGGTTTAGGGTTTAGGGTTTAGAGTTTAGCTAGCTGTTCCAGGAGCTGGATTGGGGCTCTTCTTCTTGGCCATGCGTCTCATTGCGGCAGGTGTTTCGGGCCCAAAGCTCCAATCCACAACATATGGGCGTCCGGCATCACCAGTCAAGTTCACACCTGGGCAAGGGACCCGAGGAAGGGGTGCCAACCCTTGGATTTTCCGGAAGTCCCTGCAGGTTTCAGGTTTAGGGTTTCGGCCACCTCATGCTCCACAAGCTTTCCAAGATACTCCAAGAGCATGTCAAGACCAAGCCAAGATGACCCGGACCCTAAATCCTAAACCCGAAACCCTAAACCTTCTGGGCCCAAAAACGATGACAGTTCTGTCACTCCACGCAGAGTTTTTATTTTACCAGGCTATCATACAAATGTGCGCGCGGACCGGCGCAGCATCCCCTGCAGAAGTCGAAGTGCAAGCTGAGCTGCTTGTGAAAGTAAGCAGGGTACAAGATCGTGTGCTCTCATGCGAGGACACCAGCCCGGCCGTGGTGTTCACAAAGAGCTGCTTCGTGAAAAGGGGGCCTGGGACGCTTCAACGACTGTCACATTTGCCATCTCCTCGGACCCCTTTGTGCCATCTGGGCTCAGCCCCAACCCTTCCTAACCTTTGAAACCGGACCGGCTGACCCGAACCCCTTCACCTAAACACCCTAAGCACCCTCAACCCGAACACCCTGAGCAACCAAAACACCCGAAAACCAAAAACCCTAACACACTAAACACCCAAAAAAAAACCAAAAACTCCCTAATTCCCAACCCCAACCCAACAAAAACCAAACCTACCTGGCCATCCTCCTGTCCCAGAAGCTGCTCAGCGGTGGTGTTGGAGTAAAAGCGATGTTCCCTGCAAATGGTTTCGGGTTTCGGGTTTCGGGTTTAGGGTTTAGGGTTTAGGGTGTTTAGGGTTTAGGGAGAGGCGCTCACCACAAGAGTCAGAAATCGTTTTACCTTGCTGGCTCTGAAAGTAAGGGAATGAGGGAAATAGGCAGCCGAAAAACTCCCTAGATTCATACCCTTTTGAGGGATTGATGTAGGTACCCCAACTCCCTCATTCTCGTGTAAGAACCCGTACATCTAGGGCCGGCCTGCCGGCACCAAGGTGTTCTCTCCAGTCGTCACATTCTCACCCAGCAACAGTGTGGCCGTGGCGCCTGGGCTCAGTGTTTTAGGGTTTCGGGTGTGCACACCAGCATTTTGGGTCTACCCCCCCCTCGCTGCATGCATCAGATCACGACTACGCACAATGCATTGGAGATTCTGAGGGGAATGTCCAGCTCCCGGTGGTCCTGTCCGACGTATGCCCAGAAGTGGATCCCGAAAGCACAGTGCATAGATTGCAACATCATAACACAGGAACATCATAGCATAATGATATAACCGTATAAAACATAACAACATAACATGAAAACGTGATAACAGAACAACATAATAACACAATAACAGAATAACATAATAACATAAGAACATAAAAGAACTTCGCGAATAAGGTAATGAGATATTCAGATAATTAAGGTAGCAAGATAACAAGACTTGAAAACAATGATAACCATTTAAAAAATGTTGCTTTTGAAATACATCAATACAATTGCTGAACATATCATAGCATTTGAATTTCTACGACATAACATTGTACTATATGAGTATGATCGTACAAAAGCAGCCAGGCGCTCCTTCGACCAACTGCAGGTTTCTGGGGATCCCAGGGCAGCGTGCACGTCAGCATCGAAGATTTCGGCACAGGCAGCATCATCTGCCAGTCGATTCCCTGGAATCCGGGTGCAAACCCAGGACGCATGCCCGAAACACAACAAGATCAGCATCGGCAAAGGCCAGCCTGCACCAAGGTCAGCTACCAGACCAACGGTGCGCAGCCTCCCAGGGGTGCATGCGATACGGCTTCTTGCAGCCACAACCTAGACATCGGCACCCTAAACCCTAAACCCTAAGCCTAAACCCTAAACCCTCAATGATTCCTGATTGGCCTCCCCATGCAGCATGTGACACAAGTGCCTCACTAGCCTAAGTTAGCCTCACGATCTGGGATGTCACACATCCGACATCCGGGGCGCCTCGCGGGCTCGTTGAACCTTAAACGAAGGACCTGGGTCGAAACATCGCCAGTGGGACGGGTGAAAAGCACCTATACTGCTTATGAAATATATCTAGCATAATAATGGTAATATACATATTGTGTGTATATATATATATGTATATGTATATGTACTATGCAGTATATTCGACAAGATGGCTGGCTCTATGCCACATGCACAGGCCTGCAACTCCTTGCCGTCTGAGCAACCTGGAAATCGTTTAGAACTTCCGCGGTGTCAATGGCCAGGTATACAAGCGTTGTTGTGGACGATGTTGACGTGGTGGTGGAACTGCTAGTGCTTGACGAAGTGGTGCTGCTAACTGTGCTACTGGTTGTGGTCGCTGTATGTGTGATCGTCGTAGTACTGGTGGAACTTGTCGATGTGGATGAGGAGGTGGAGCTAGTTGTACTGGTTGAAGACGACGTGGAGCTCGAAGATGATGTGGTAGTCGTACTGCAAGGAAGCTCATGGAACAGTTGGAAAGCAACATGTGACATACTTGGATCAAAGCTGGGGGGAAACCCTAAACCCTAAACCTTTCCCCTCAACCCTAGAACCCTAGAACCCAAAAAGCAAGTTGGCAGTGCGAAGAGATTTCGGAAACACGGCGGGATCTCTGCAGCTTGCGCGTGCCTCAGGCCCCAAACATAAGCAGTGGGAAGGGCCACAACCACTCCGAGGATGCGCCTCTACGAACCCCAAGGGCTCAACCACAACGACAGGTCTGCCCTTCGTGCGCATGCGCATGGCAGGGGCGCCGTCTGAGCCACTGCGAACCGCAAATCCCGCTCAGAACGGGCCCACGATTGAATGAAGCGAATCGAAACACGACTTTTGGACCCCAAAACGAGCGCCACGCCTTTGCGCAGCGCCATGCGAAGGGGGGAGCGCACCGGACGCCACATTGTTTGCCAAATAATGGTGCACCCTAAATCCTTAATTTTGCATCCATGCCTCTATCAGGTTGCTGGAAAGTATGAAAGTTGTTAACCCTTCGCCCTTTTTGCATCCAGGCTTGGGTGAGCGTGCCGGGAAAGAGCTCATGCTGCCCAGGTTCACTGTAAACCCATCGCAGACAAGCACACCAAATGAAGTATACCGAAACACACGTGCACGTAGTTCTGCTGAAACCCTTAAACCTCCCTTAAACCCCTGACTCTCCTGGAGCTGGTGCTCGATGAGGACGTGCTAGTTGAACTGGTCGTCGTGCTCGAAGTGCTGGAAGTAGTGCTGCTTGAAGATGATGTACTGGAGCTCGTGGAGGTGGTGCTGGATGTTGACGTGCTTGTTGTTGTGGTGGAGGTGGTGCTGCTGGATGTTGCAGTAGTAGACGTTGAGGATGAGCTCGAACTCGACGTGCTGGAGCTTGTCGTTGAGGTGCTAGAAGTGCTAGTACTGGTGCTTGATGAACTAGTGGACGTCGTTGACGATGATGAGGTGCTCGACGACGAGGAAGACGTGCTAGTTGTACTTGTGGATGTCGTGCTAGATGTGGTGCGCGTGGTGCTTGTGCTGGTTGAACTACTGCTGCTTGTGGATGTTGACGTCGACGACGTTGATGAAGTGCTTGAGCTGGAGGAGGAAGTGCTGCTGGTGCTTGTCGAAGTTGAACTGGTGCTGCTGCTGCTTGTGCTGGAACTGGTGGAGCTGCTGCTGCTGGTACTGGTTGAAGTGGTCGAAGTGGACGAAGAAGAGGTACTTGTGGTGCTTGTAGACGTCGTACTGGAGGTGGTGCGTGTAGTGCTTGTGCTAGTTGAGCTACTGCTGCTTGTGGATGTTGACGTCGACGACGTTGATGAAGTGCTGGAGCTGGAGGAAGTAGTGCTTGTAGTGCTCGTAGATGTTGTACTGGTGGTGCTGCTTGTCGAACTGCTGCTGGTTGAACTCGTAGAACTAGTGGAAGTGGATGTTGTGCTCGAAGTGGATGAAGAAGTGCTGGTGGTGCTTGAAGATGTCGTGCTGGTGCTGGTGCTGGTGGTGCTTGTGCTGGACGAACTGCTGCTGGTTGAACTCGTAGTACTAGTGGAAGTGGATGTTGTGCTCGAAGTGGATGAAGAAGTGCTGGTGCTGCTCGAAGACGTTGTGCTGGTGCTGGTGCTGGTAGTGCTTGTGCTGGACGAACTGCTGCTGCTTGTGCTCGTTGTGCTTGTGGATGTAGACGTTGTGCTCGAAGTGGAGGAAGAAGTACTAGTCGTGCTTGTAGATGTCGTACTGGAGGTGGTGCGTGTAGTGCTTGTGCTGGTTGAACTACTGCTGCTTGTGGATGTCGACGTCGACGACGTTGATGAAGTGCTTGAGCTGGAGGAGGAAGTGCTGCTGGTGCTTGTCGAAGTTGAACTGGTGCTGCTGCTGCTTGTGCTGGAACTGGTGGAGCTGCTGCTGCTCGTACTGGTTGAGGTGGTCGAAGTGGATGAAGAGGAGGTACTCGTGGTGCTTGTAGATGTCGTACTGGAGGTGGTGCGTGTAGTGCTTGTGCTGGTTGAACTACTGCTGCTTGTGGATGTCGACGTCGACGACGTTGATGAAGTGCTTGAGCTGGAGGAGGAAGTGCTGCTGGTGCTTGTCGAAGTTGAACTGGTGCTGCTGCTGCTTGTGCTGGAACTGGTGGAACTGCTGCTGCTCGTACTGGTTGAGGTGGTCGAAGTGGATGAAGAGGAGGTACTTGTGGTGCTTGTAGATGTCGTACTGGAGGTGGTGCGTGTAGTGCTTGTGCTGGTTGAACTACTACTGCTTGTGGATGTCGACGTCGACGACGTTGATGAAGTGCTTGAGCTGGAGGAGGAAGTGCTGGTGGTACTGGTAGATGTTTTGGTAGTGGAGGTGCTGCTTGTGCTGGAACTGGTGGAGCTGCTGCTGCTGGTACTGGTCGTAGTGGTCGAAGTGGATGAAGAAGAGGTACTTGTGGTGCTTGTAGATGTCGTACTGGAGGTGGTGCGTGTAGTGCTTGTGCTAGTTGAGCTACTGCTGCTTGTGGATGTTGACGTCGACGACGTTGATGAAGTGCTGGAGCTGGAGGAGGAAGTGCTGCTGGTACTGGTAGATGTTGTGCTGGTGGAGGTGCTGCTTGTGCTGGAACTGGTGGAACTGCTGCTGCTGGTACTGGTCGAGGTGGTCGAAGTGGATGAAGACGAGGTACTTGTTGTGCTTGTAGATGTCGTACTGGAGGTGGTGCGTGTAGTGCTTGTGCTAGTTGAGCTACTGCTGCTTGTGGATGTTGACGTCGACGACGTTGATGAAGTGCTTGAGCTGGAGGAGGAAGTGCTGCTGGTGCTTGTAGATGTTGTGCTGGTGGAGGTGCTACTTGTGCTGGAACTGGTGGAGCTGCTGCTGCTGGTACTGGTTGAGGTGGTCGAAGTAGATGAAGAAGAGGTACTCGTAGTGCTCGTAGATGTCGTACTGGAGGTGGTGCGCGTAGTGCTTGTGCTGGTGGAACTACTGCTGCTTGTGGATGTTGACGTCGACGATGTTGATGAAGTGCTTGAGCTGGAGGAGGAAGTGCTGCTGGTGCTTGTAGATGTTGTGCTGGTGGAGGTGCTGCTTGTGCTGGAACTGGTGGAACTGCTGCTGCTGGTGCTGGTCGAAGTGGTCGAAGTGGATGAAGAAGAGGTACTTGTGGTGCTTGTAGATGTCGTACTGGAGGTGGTGCGTGTAGTGCTTGTGCTGGTTGAACTACTGCTGCTTGTGGACGTTGACGTGGTGCTTGAGCTGGAAGTGCTTGTAGATGTTGTACTGGTGGTGCTGCTTGTCGAACTGCTGCTGCTTGTGCTCGATGTGCTGGTGGAAGTGGATGTTGTGCTCGAAGTGGATGAAGAAGTGCTGGTGGTGCTTGAAGATGTTGTGCTTGTGGTGGTGCTGGTGGTGCTTGTGCTGGACGAACTGCTGCTGCTTGTGCTCGTTGTACTGGTGGAAGTGGATGTTGTGCTCGAAGTGGATGAAGAAGTGCTGGTGGTGCTCGTGGATGTCGTAGTGGAAGTGGTGCGTGTGGTGGTTGTGCTGGTCGAACTGCTGCTGCTGGTGCTAGTTGAGGAGGTGGAGGATGAAGTGGTGCTCGATGACGACGACGAAGTGCTGCTGGTGCTCGTAGAAGATGTACTGGAGCTGCTGCTTGAGGTGCTTGTGCTCGTCGAACTGCTGCTGCTTGTGCTCGATGACGTTGTTGATGTTGAGGAAGTGCTTGAGGTCGATGAGGTCGTGCTTGAACTGCTCGTAGATGTTGTACTTGTGGTGCTGCTTGTCGAACTGCTGCTGCTTGTGCTCGACGTGCTGGTGGAAGTGGATGTTGTGCTCGAAGTGGATGAAGAAGTGCTGGTGGTGCTCGTGGATGTCGTAGTGGACGTGGTGCGCGTCGTGCTTGTGCTGGTCGAACTGCTGCTGCTGGTGCTAGTTGAGGTGCTGGAGGATGAAGTGGTGCTCGACGAGGATGACGACGTGCTGGTGGTGCTCGTAGAGGACGTGCTGGAGCTGCTGCTTGAGGTGCTGGTGCTAGTCGAGCTGCTTGTACTCGTGCTTGAAGATGTCGTTGATGTTGAGGAGGTGCTTGAAGTTGATGTGCTTGTGGATGTTGTGCTGGTTGTGGTGCTGGTCGAGCTTGTCGAAGAGGTGGAAGAAGACGTGGTACTCGAAGTCGTGGTGCTTGTGGATGTTGTGCTCGTGCTGGAGCTCGTCGAGCTGCTGCTGCTTGTACTAGTTGATGACGTCGATGATGAAGTAGTCGTGGAGCTGGAAGACGACGTGCTAGTGGTGCTTGTGGACGTAGTTGTGGAGGAAGTCAGGGTAGTACTTGTGCTCGTCGAGCTGCTGCTACTCGTGCTTGAGGACGTCGTCGACGTGGACGATGAGGATGTGCTGGTGGAGCTTGTGGAAGTGGTGCTGCTGGTGCTGGAGCTGCTGGAGGTGGATGATGATGACGTTGAGGTCGTGCTTGAGCTGGTCGAAGATGTGCTTGTGGTGCTGGAGCTGCTGCTGGAGGTCGACGTGCTCGTTGAGCTGCTGCTGCTGGTGCTCGAGGATGTGGTTGATGTTGAAGAGGTGCTTGAGCTCGAGGAAGACGTGCTTGTGGTGCTTGTGGATGTTGTACTTATGCTTGTGCTGCTCGAACTGCTGCTGCTTGTTGTGGTTGAGGTTGTCGAGGAGGAAGTGGTGCTTGATGAAGTCGTGCTTGATGAAGATGATGACGTGCTAGTGGTGCTCGTAGACGTTGTGCTGGAGGTAGTGCCTGTGGTGCTGGTGCTGGTTGAGCTGCTGCTACTTGTGCTCGATGATGTCGTCGATGTTGAGGATGTGCTTGAGGTTGATGAGGATGTGCTTGTAGTGCTCGTAGAAGATGTAGTGGTGGTGCTGCTACTGGTGGTTGTGCTGGTGGAACTGCTGCTGCTTGTGCTGGTCGATGTGGTCGACGTGGACGACGTGGAAGTGCTGGTAGATGTTGCACTGGTCGTGGTGCTACTTGAGCTGCTGCTGCTGGTGCTTGTGGAGGTGGTGGATGAAGACGTGGTACTCGACGTGGATGACGAAGTGCTGGTGGACGATGTGATGGTGGTGCTTGTGGATGTGGTGCTGGTGCTGGAGCTCGTCGAGCTGCTACTACTTGTGCTTGATGATGTTGAAGATGTACTGGTGGTGCTTGTAGATGTTGTACTCGTGCTTGTGCTGCTCGAACTGCTGATGCTTGTGGTGGTTGAGGTTGTGGATGTTGAAGTTGAGCTCGATGAAGATGAAGATGTGCTAGTGGTGCTTGAAGACGTTGTGCTGGAGGTAGTCTGTGTTGAGCTGCTGCTACTTGTGCTCGATGATGTCGTCGATGTTGAGGACGTGCTCGAGGTTGATGAGGATGTGCTGGTAGTGCTGGTAACTGTTGTAGTGGTAGTGCTGCTACTTTCGGTTGTGGTCGTCGAGCTGCTTGCAGAAGTGGTGGTGCTCACAGTGGTGGACGTACTCGCGGTGGTCGATGTTGAAATGGATGTGGTGCTACTTTTGGTTGTCGAGCTGGTTACAGATGTGGTGGTGCTCACAGTGGTGGACGTACTCGCTGTGGTTGATGTTGAAATGGATGTGGTGCTGCTCTTGGTCGTCGAGCTGCTTACAGATGTGGTCGTGCTCACAGTGGTGGACGTACTCGCTGTGGTTGATGTTGAAATGGTCGTCGAGCTGCTTGCAGAAGTGGTGGTGCTCACAGTGGTGGACGTACTCGCGGTGGTCGATGTTGAAATGGATGTGGTGCTACTTTTGGTTGTCGAGCTGCTTACAGATGTGGTGGTGCTCACAGTGGTGGACGTACTCGCTGTGGTTGATGTTGAAATGGATGTGGTGCTGCTCTTGGTCGTCGAGCTGCTTACAGATGTGGTCGTGCTCACAGTGGTGGACGTACTCGCTGTGGTTGATGTTGAAATGGTCGTCGAGCTGCTAGCAGAAGTGGTGGTGCTCACAGTGGTGGACGTACTCGCGGTGGTCGATGTTGAAATGGATGTGGTGCTACTTTTGGTTGTCGAGCTGCTTACAGATGTGGTGGTGCTCACAGTGGTTGACGTACTCGCTGTGGTTGATGTTGAAATGGATGTGGTGCTGCTTTTGGTCGTCGAGCTGCTTACAGATGTGGTCGTGCTCACAGTGGTGGACGTACTCGCTGTGGTTGATGTTGAAATGGTCGTCGAGCTGCTTGCAGAAGTGGTGGTGCTCACAGTTGTGGACGTACTCGCGGTGGTCGATGTTGAAACGGATGTGGTGCTGCTTTCGGTTGTTGAGCTGCTTACAGAGGTGGTGGTGCTCACGGTGGTGGACGTGCTCGCTGTGGTTGATGTTGAAATGGTCGTCGAGCTGCTTGCAGATGTGGAGGTGCTGGTCACAGTGGTTGTGGTTGCAGCTTGCAGCCGACGCATGTCAGAATCCTGGCAGTATCAGTGGCTGAGCTGAGGCTTCAGGGTCTTAATAAAAATCTAAGCTGGCATGTCAAGACCACGGTCAGCACTTTCTGCGTCAAGGCCATTCACGTCTCCAGTACCAACCCCTGAAAGAGTGCAAGCGAGTCGCGGTGGAATGCCTCAGGTTTTGGGTTTAGGGTTTAGGGTTTAGGGTTTAGGGTTTAGGGTTCAGGGTTTAGGTCAGAAGAAGGTCCGGACTGACCTACTGACCGAGACCTTCTTAAAACGCTCAGCTCACCAAGCCCGGCGAGGTTTGGGCTTGAGAGCTTGACGGAGGCTTCGCGGTGGATTCTGTGTTCTGGCCACCCTCCGATCATCCGAGGCGCTCTATACTTGCCACTGGTGTGGCATCATCAAGCCGTCTGCCAAACTCGGGGATGTCATCCTGCCGTCGACTGGCGCGCGAGTAGGTGCAAAACACCCTCATACTCACCACTTTAGGGTTCAGGGTTTAGGGCTTGGGTTTAGGGTTCAAGTGGAATTGGTCTATGCAACCGACTTGGGTCCTGATTGGCCGGGTGGAGCCACAGCTGCGCCATTAAGCTTGGCCAGCGCGACTGCCTTCTTACCCCCATCAGGTCCTGCAAGGTGCGGTTTCAATCGTGGCCCATTCTCACCCCTAAACCCTAAACCCTATACCCTTTCCCTGAACCTTAAACCCTAAACCCTATACCCTGAACCTTAAACCCCAAAACCCTCTACCCTGAACCTTAAACCCTAGACCGATTCCCTCCAGCTTGCGAGGCTCCTCATCTCGTGGCTCCTTGGCACACAAGGGCAGTGTGGAGAATGATTTTGCAAAGGCCGCGCAGCAGATGCTAATGGTGAATCTTGTTCAGGGCTTGGGGTATGGGGTTTAGGGTTTTTATAGGGTTTAGGGTTTAGGGTTTAGGGTTTAGGGTTTAGGGTTTAGGGTTTAGGGTTTAGGGTTTAGGGTTTAGGGTTCACATACTGCCAGGAAGCCTGGATCACTGCGAGGACGATGCCAAGCAGTACGACGAGAGCAATGGCCCAGTTGAGCTGGCATGGAATTCGATGGCTGTGCTGTCGCCAAGTCGCTTCACGCGAAAATTCCCTAGCTCAGCTTCCGGTGCCCTAGACGCAGAACTTCGGATGCTGACAGTCTGAGAATTCTAGAAAGCAAAGCCCGGCTCGCACGCGGCACGGACGCCCATAAACTCGCATTGACCCGCTGAGCGGCTTTGAGGGGCCAAATTTCAGGGCTTAGGGAAAGCCGCGAAAGCCTCTCACAACTTGGGATGTTCCCCCTTATACTAACAGTCCTGAACAAACTAAAAAATAGGGGGTACCAGAATCCCTCTTAAGGACTGTTAGTAGAAGGGGGAAAATATCCCAACTCACAACCACGCACAGTAACGTCTGGCGCCTTCATGGTGCTGAGGAGCACAGGTGCAGCAGCACTCGGGTGGTGCGCTGCACTCTGTGGTCCACTAGTCGAAGCTTGCTCACGTGGCACAATCTTCGGGTGAAGACGTAGAGCAACCTATCTATATCTCCATATGTATAGCATGTGTGTATATGTGTATGTACGTGTCCGCATACCATTCTTGCTGTGGCTGGTCCAGCATGGCAACAAGCTCTCCTTGGTCCTCTTCTGAAACACCATGACACACCCGGTTGAGAAGCATGAGTCCCTAAACCCCAGAATCATAAACCTTTGAGCCGAGAGAGCCACCGGGCCACAGAGGCCCGCAGGATCGGAGCGCAGGCTTGTCTGCATGGCTCAAGGTGCAACATGGTGCCATGTAAACATCTCCATCTGTAACATGGAGTTCCCTTCCGAACTTGTTTGTGAATGGCGCCCACGATGAGCTTTCTGAGATGGAATCGCGAGGTCACAGTGAGACTGTCCTTTAGGAAACGCATCACTGTCCTAAACGGGCTGTGCTTCTGCGCTGCACTTTGAATGCAGAAAGGCACTGCCACTGGGAAGACAAGAATCAGCTGGCATGTCGCGTCTTGTAGGCGTCAATGCAGCCCATACACACGTAGTGGGTGCCACCTCCACATCGGTAGCCGTCAGACAGCCGGTAATGGCAAATCCCACAGTTTTCGTCAGGCGGATTGGCTACCTGAGCTTTCTGAGTGACATCCCAGGGCCCGTAAACTCAGGAGGGCATGCCGCTCTACCAGCAATGGCCAAGATACATTCAGCTCAAACCACTCAAAGTTGGCCTTGGTAGCCCAGCAACCATACTATGATAAGGGCACCCTTTTTTTGGGTTGGTTATTTTATACGGGAACCAAGAACCAAAAAAAAAGGGGTAAAGGGTACCACTGGGCTACTAAGTGGCTGGGCAGAGGCCAAGACAGTCCAGCGCATCCAGCGTCGACATCTCCTGCGCCAGGACATGGCCCCGGATCACCCCCCCGTTTTTTTTTGGAACCCACCTCGCAACCCTAAACCCTAGACCCTAAGCCCGAAGCCCTAAGCCCCCTAAACCCTAAACCCTAAACCCTAAACCCTGAAGAAGCTCATCTCTTCGTGCTTGAGAAGCTCCTCCACCACCTTCTCCCCTTCTTGCTGGGGCAGTTTCCTTGGTGACTGACAGATACCGACCAGCCAGCCCTAAACTCAATGTCCAAGAAGCAGGGGGTATTTCCCAACGCAAGGATACCTCCCCCCCTTACACCCCCCCCCCCCCCCCAAAGAAGCACCTTCATCTTGGGAAAGGCCCCCATATGGATTCCGCCACTGAAGGTAAGTATCTCTTCCTCCTTCACCTCCTCCTTGGGCCTCTCGCGGTTTTTGCCCTTGGCAAGGGCCTTGGCCACAGCCTGCCCAAGGTACGAGGTGCATTTGAACGGACTTCGTGTTTTTTTGGTCTCCAAGGAATACGCGTCTGCAAAGCTCGTGAGACTTTGGCAACTTCAACATCCCAAAAATGAAGTTACAGCCGGCGGCTAAGGCTCAAAGGCTTGCTGCGCCTTGACATGATCATCTCTGGAAGGAGCAGAGCCACCAGGCTCGTCTTCGTCCAGCATGTCGTCTGCCTTCATGGCCTCAGGCCGGACTGTCGCATGCTGCACGTTGTCACTCGGCTTGGGGTCCACAGCAGACTATTCCGAACTCCATCTTCTCCTGGCAAGTTCAAGCGTAAGCTGCTGACAGTCTCCACACCTTTGAGCAGCTCTGCTGCCATCTCCCGCGCCAAAGAGCCCACTGCTTCCTGCCATGGGGGCCGCCCACGCTTGGGCGGTCGGCTTCGCCGAGTCTCCGGCGAGGCAGGAAGCTCGCCTCGGTCACCTGAGCGAAAGGTTCTGCGGCTTGGTGGTTGGTGGTGGGAGGCGTCTGGAATCCTTCATCAGCGGTGGGGAGCGGAGCATGCGCACATCAGGAAAAGTTAAGGTCACTGCCTGAGGCTTCTGCAGACGACCGCCCGCCCTCTCCCCCTTGCATGCCGATGAGAAAGTCCTCTGGCAGCCTCGTGCTGACTAGCGGTGACAAGCCGATAAATAGGATATAACAGGACGTGCTTGGGGTAATGTGATCACTACGCCACCCTGTGCATCCAAGCTGCAGCTGGCGGCAAGCCATGCCGCTGACTGCAAGCTGCGACGTGGGGTCTCCCAAGCGCGTCGCCAAGCGGCGGAAAGCTCTTTCGGCAAGAGTCACCGCAAGTCCTGGATCCCACCCTACTGGCCCACCACGCCAGAATTCATAAAAACCCAGAGCAGTTCTACACGGCCGCAGCACACGCATGGCTAGAACTGGCTTGCAAATGACACATCGACGCGTGTGGCTGGACCAACAGCGACTCTGCCCCTAAACCCTAAACCCTAAACCCTAAACCCTAAACCCTAAACCCTAAACCCTAAACCCTAAACCCTAGGCCCATCTGCATGACTCAATGCATGGCAAGGTATGGCTCACTCAAAGCTCGCCCTTAGCACATCCCAGCACAAAATGGCATATTTGGGGGTTTAGGGTTTAGGGTTTAGGGTTTAGGGTTTAGGGTCCAGGGTTTAGGGTTTAGGGTTTAGGGTTCAAGGTTTAGGGTTTAGGGTTTAGGGTTTAGGGTTTAGGAGGGACCCCTGATAAAGCACCTTGAATGGGAGGATCCCTAGGTATGATAAGGACCCCAATACGGTACCCCGAATATCGTTAGACCACCATTTTCATTGTCAAAGCACAGCTGGGACGGATCACTAAGCTTAGTGCCTCACGAACCCGTGGTCGATGGTCAGATGGCGACTCACGACAACTGCACCCTTAACCCTGTAAACCCTTTCACCCTTTGAACCCGCTAAGCCCTTGAACACCTTCAACCCTTTCGACCCGTTAAACCCTTTAAACCCCTTCAACCCTTTCGACCCTTTAAACCCTCTAAACCCTTCAAAACCCCTTAAACCTCTTCAACCCTTTCGACCCTTTTAAGCCCTTTTGAGCCCTTAAAAAACGCAGAACCCTGAAGTCCTCCATTGTGCTGCGAGATCTCGGTTCCATGCTGCTGTTGGATGTGCCCCGCCAAGGCTGCCCCAAGGCCGGGCGCGAATGAAAGATTAAAGCGATCTTGCGCTGCGTGCTCACCTTCCGTGGGGGCAGCTTTCAAAATGACCGTCCCCATCTTTTTGGGGATACACATAGTAGCAAGGGGCCGCCTTAGAATAGCAACCCCAAAGCCTAGAAACATGCCCTAACCCCCAGCTGCACAGAAAGCTTCAGGAAGCATCGGTGACCAACCCTAAACCCTAAACCCTAAACCCTAAACCCTAAATACCGAGGACTGCAGGATCCGAAGGGCCTCTGGCTTAGTGGGGACCAGCGAGTCGCACCAAAAGGACACCCAATATATACACTCACCAATACTAGAAAGGAACCTGATGTACACTCACCAAAAAGAGTTATATAAACCCTGCTTCATAATATGGGGTAGTTGTCAAAATTCATGTTCCTTTTTGGACACCCTAAATATTAGGTGCCGCTTTTTTTCGGGACCCAAGAAATGACCATAATCTTGACAACCAACCGTCTATGACACGACCCGTCATTCTGATAAGCTGTCACACTCTCTCGAACCCTAAACCCTAAACCCTAAACTCTAAACCCTAAACCTGCCCTAAACCCTAAACCCTAAAAGTGCTCTCAAAGTGGCAGATCTCCGCCAGCTCTTCGGCGCTGTAGTCTTCCAGTTGCAGGACCAAGGAGAACCGGCGCCGCAGTCCCGGGTCCGAATCCATCAGCACCTTAAGTCACTAAGCGAGATCAAGGGGGCAAAGTATGTGCGGTCTAGGGTTCAGGGCTTAGGGCTTAGGGTTTAGGGTTTAGGGTTTAGGGTTTAGGGTTTTGGGCTCCACGTCCCACGACACTGCAGTTGCACCTGTTCTGCTTGGGTCCCTGACGTCCATCTTGTCCGCATACCCTGCCAGGACTACCTGAGACTGCAGGCGTCACACAACCCTAAACCCTAAACCCTAACCCCTAAACCCTAAACCCTAAACCCTAAACCGGGCTCCAGAGGTGCTGCTCTATCCCGATGCCTCCCTAAATCCTAACCCCTAAACCCTAAACCCTAAACCCTAAAACCCTAAAACCCTAAAACCCTAAACCCTAAACCCTAAACCCTAAACCCTAAACCCTAAACCCCAAACCCTAAACCCTAAACCAAAGCATTAGTTAGGGGCAGATTTTGAGCAGGGCTGTGAGAAGCAGGGCTGCCAATAACCCTGTGCGATGGTTCTCCACCTCTGTCAAGAGGGTGCGGATCACTTCTCCACTGAATTTGTCTCCTCCCCGGTCTGCCAACGCATATGCCTCGTGCAGCAAAGCGTGGTGCGGAGTCGTGGGCAGCCATGCATCGCTCAGTGCACCGCAAAGAGAACTCCAGACAGAATGGCGCCTCATCAATAAACAAGCATCCTCCCATTGCGTCACCTCACGCGGTGCAAGATGACGGAAAAAGTGAGAGTCATCTGAAGGGCAAAAACAACTTGAAGCCAACAGGGAGTTCATCAAACGCGGCGACAGTCGCGCACAGCTTCCGCCACTGTAGGGGCTGTTTGACCCACAAACTGTCCTCAGGGTCGAGATGCACACAAGTGAACACGTCTTTGAGGGGGCACGATCAGCCTGCCTTTTAGAGCCAGAGCATTCCGCTCGACGAAGGTGTCGCGTGGAAGCACACCGTGGGCATACAGATACCGGCCGATCAGCCGGGCGACCGTCGTCTTGCCGGTCCTTACCGCGTGTTTCAGATGGTGGCACGAGTGTTCCAACTCTGCAAGTGCCATACTTACTGAACACCCATCCAAAGATCCCAGGGTTGCCTGTCAGCCGCAAGTTGAGGCTAGTTTGAAGCACACGCGGATCTCCCCCGCGCTCGACGAAAGCCACCGTCCGAGAGAGCTCGGCAAAGAAGGCTTTGACATTTGCCATGCCTCCAATCGACACGGGACACATGTCAAGATAAACTCTTCAGAACCTGTCAGAACCCTTTCAGAAGGAATGCAACGTGCAAAGCTCTCCAAGTTCGGGGCCTGTGAGGCGTTCCACCTCCTCCTGCACGCGCTTCCGCAACTCCGGGTCGCCCATGGTCGGGCGCTCCTCGATGCCGAAGTCTGCAGCTGTGAAAACGGCCACCTGTGGGGCTCTACAAAAACAGGCAAAACAAAAAATCGGGTTCGCCTATCTGCCCCATTAGGGGTGTATTGTATTTCGGCACCAACTATTTTGGGAAAGGCCCCGGTGGGACAAAGCTGGTGCAGTGGCACCGCTTCGCCGCCTCTGCCTTCACGTCCTGGATGCTCCGCCCGCCTGCATGCAATGCAAGGCAAAGAACCCGGAGCACGGAGAGAGCCCAACAACCTCTTAACTTAGGGACATGCCTTAACTGAAAATTGGGATCTGAAATTGAAGGTACTTTCCTTGCGCAAGGGAGTAGGGGAAGTAATGACAAGCTGTAACAAGCTGACAAGCTATGAAAAGCTATGAAACAAGGTGGAGGGCTAAGATGGACAGGCAAGCCTAGGGACTCATGCACACGCCCAAAAGCACAAAGACGCGGCCAGGCTGAATGCCACAAAGCTGCTCCGTTGTCGGGACAGCGTGGGTGCATCTTGCGGCGAGCCCGGGGCTGGATTTTTCGCAGGCAGGGACATCTGCGCAAACGCCTCAGGAACGGAGTTGGCTCTGAAGCTCCGAAAGCTCCGCAAGCTCGAAGTGCACTTCGGACCTTGCTGAGGGGTAAGCCTCAGGGTACTTCGCCACGATTCGAACGATCTGCCTGTCCAGGGCCTTCTCCTTAGCAGCACGCCACGGTTCGCCTTTTGCAAATCGCGCAGGGTACCTTTTGCATTCGTTCTGTTGCTTTCCAAGGGGCTGTCAAATTCACCGACAGTCCTGCATTCTGCTGAGCAATGTCCTTAAGAGTGACATGGTGCACTGACAACGGCATCATCATGCGGACGTCCCATCACAGGCAGGCTTTCATGGCTGCCAATAAGTGGAAGTGGCGCGCCAGAAGAAATTCTCGATGTGCTTCTCCAGCTTCTCCCGCAAGCCGGGTTCGAACTCACGTTGGTGCCGGTGCCTTCATGTGAGGCGGTCTGGCTCAGCTAGGGTGCAGCCCACATGATCTAGGGTTTAGGGTTTAAGGGTTAAGGGGTTAGGTTTAGGGTTTAGGGTTTAGGGATCACAAGGCAGCCTGGCACAGGTCTCGCAAATGTAGGCCAGCTCGCCGGGTGTGTAGTCGTCCAGGTGCAGGCGGTTAGGAAATCGTCTGGCTAAGCCTTCCTCGAACGCACCCCCAAAAGTAAAGCAAGGAACAAGACTGTGCAGCAGCTGAAGCAGCAACGTTTAGAGTCAAGCATCTTCAGCACGCATGAGTCGTCCCATCTTCTCCTCTGTGCATGGCATGTGACGCAGGCCAGACGCGTGCATTGAACTTGACAAAAGAAGAAGCTCGGTATGCCTTGTAGCCGGCCAGCACGACCATCAAATTTGTGCGGTGGTTCTCGACTTCTGTTAGCAGCGTCCTGCCATGCATCAATTTCTGGAAGGACACACAAATATCGTTTCCGGGAGTGGGTCCGGGTTGGGCACCGTGTGCAGCAGCGGGTAGGGGGCCCAAAAGCCCACGCAGACATAAGGATTCTACAAGCATTTCTCCAGAATTCTCCCTTACAAAGGGGGCCCTTCTACCCCTAGCACATAGGCTCCTTATGTTTATGTACAAAGGGGGCCCTTCTACCCCTAGCACAGAGGCTCCTTATGTTTTATGTGGCTTCTTGGGCCCCCAAAAGCGGTGTGCACTGCGGCGCCTTAAGGCCTCCTGGGAGAACGCATCGCCCGCGCCACCGACCCCAGCAGCAGAGTCCATCAGGGCGTAGGCCTCATCCAGGAAGAGGCAGCCTCAGTCGGCCCCCCAGCATCCCTTTAGGGTAAAGGCTGGAGGTGAATTTCTTGGGACTCTTTACAAGCAAGGGTAAAGATGAACCCTAACCCCTAAACCCCTAAACCTCCAAACCCCTAAACCCCTAAGCCTCGAAACCCTGAAACCCTGACACCCTAAACTCTAAACCCTAGAAACCTAAACCTCTAAACCTCCTAACCCTAAAAACCCTCAACCCTCAACCCTAAACTCTAAACCCCCAAACCATAAACCCCCAAACCATCCCTAAACCCTAAAAACCCCAAAAGCAAACCCTAAAAATCCCTAAAAGCCCTAAAACCCTAGACCCTAAACCCCCCAAAAACCTACCAGCACAGCAGCCTCCCATGGCTTCCTGGACCGCCGCTTTCACCCGTGGCGCGGTCCCGCCCATGAACTCCGCCTTGAGCTCCAGGCCTTGGTGTTGGATTGTTCCCCCCTTGTAATTAGTGTGGGGGTTTAGGGTTTAGGGTTTAGGGTTTCGGGTTTAGGGTTTAGGGTTTAGGGTTTAGGGTTTAGGGTTTAGGGTTTAGGGTTTAGGGTCTAGGGTCTAGGGTCTAGGGTTTAGGGTTTATTGAGCATCTCTGGTCCAAGCATTCACTAGTTGAGCAGCTTTCAAGGCCACAGGGGAATACCCACCCGCCCATTGGGTCCCACACCATTCGGAACAATATCCAACCTCCTTCTTCTCTAAGCGGCCCCGTTCCCAATCTCTTAGACACTTGCTCGACGGAATACTTTAAAATTAAAATCCCAAACCCTAGACATAAAACTCGAAGCATCATGTCACCGAGTTCGCACTCCCATATTTGAGCCTCGATGCGTGGGACATAAAACTCGAAAAAAACCCGTGGAAATCCTAAACCCTAGACATAAAACTCTACAAAAACTGTGAAAATCCCAAACCCTAGACATTAAACTCAAAAAAACTGTGAAAATCCTAAACCCTAGACAAAAAACTCGAAAAAAACTGTGAAAATCCTAAACCCTAGACATACCCTAAACATAAAACTCGAAAAATCATGTCAACGAGTTCGCACTCCCATATTTGAGCCTCGATGCGTGGGACATAAGACTCGAAAAAAAACTGTGAAAATCCTATACCCTAGACATAAAACTTGCCGAAAAAAACTGTGAAATCCTAAACCCTAGACATAAAACTCGCAAAAAACTGTGAAAATCCTAAACCCTAGACATAAAAACTCGAAAAAACAACTGTGAAAATCCTAAACCCAGACATAAAACTCAAAAAAAAACTGTGAAAATCCTAAACCCTAGACATAAAACTGGAAAAAACTGTGAAAATCCTAAACCCTAGACATAAAATTCGAAAAAAAAAAACTGTGAAAATCCTAAACCCTAGACATACAACTCGAAAAAACAACTGTGAAAATCCTAAACCCTAGACATAAAACTTGCCGAAAAAAACTGTGAAATCCTAAACCCTAGACATAAAACTCGCAAAAAACTGTGAAAATCCTAAACCCTAGACAAAAACTCGAAAAAACAACTGTGGAAATCCTAAACCGAGACATAAAACTCAAAAAAAAACTGTGAAAATCCTAAACCCTAGACATAAAACTCGGAAAAAACTGTGAGAATCCTAAACCCTAGACATAACACTCGAAAAAAACTGTGAAAATCCTAAACCCTAGACATACCCTAAACATAAAACTCGACATAAAACTCGAAAAAAACTGTGAAATCCTAAACCCTGGACATAAAACTCGAAAAAAACTGTCAAAATCCGAAACCCTAGACGTAAAACTCGAAAAAAAACTGCGAAAGTCCTAAACCCTAAACATAAAACTTGCCGAAAACAAAACCGTGAACATGATTCTTCCCCAACCCTCCCTTGATCTTCATCCCGGAGACATAAGACTTAAAAAACTGTGAAAATCCTAAACCCTAGACATAAAACTCGAAAAAAACTGTGAAAATCCTAAACCCAGACATAACACTCGAGAAAAAGCTGTGAAAATCCTAAACCCTAGACATAAAACTCGAAAAATCATGTCACCGAGTTCGCACTCCCATATTTGAGCCTCGATGCGTGGGACATAAAACTCGAAAAAAACTGTGAGAATCCTAAACCCTAGGCATAAAACTCGAAAAAAACTCCTAAACCCTAGATATAAAATTCGAGAAAAAATGTGAAAATCCTAAACTCGAAAAAAACTGTGAAAATCCTAAACCCTCGACATAAAACTTGCCGGAGTCCCACACATCGAGGCTCAAATATGGGAGTGCGAACTCGGTGACAAGCCCTAGGCATAAAACTTGCCGAAAAAAACTGTGAACATGATTCTTCCCCAACCCTCCCTTGAACTTCTACCCGGAGACATAAGACCTAAAAAGGACTGTGAAAATCCTAAACCCTAGACATAAATCTCGAAAAAAAGCTGTGAAAATCTAAACCCTAGACATAAGACTCGTGCCTTTGCCGACGAAGGTTTTGTGCCTTGCCGACGAAGGTTTCGTGCCTTGCCGACGAAGGTTTTGTGCCTTGCCGACGAAGTTTTTGTGCCTTGTCGACGAAGGTTTTGTGCCTTGCCGACGAAGGTCTTGTGCCTTGCCGACAAAGGTTTTGTGCCTTGCCGACGAACGTGTTTAACATTTAAATATATATATATATATATATAGTAGGAGAGGTTTAGGGTTTAGGGTTTAGGGTTTAGGGTTTAGGAAAAGAATAGGGGGCACAAGGGTCCCTACTAAGGACTGTTAGGATAAGGGGGAACATCGCGGCCTCGGCGTCACCATGGTGGAGACGAGGTTTTAAAAACCCTCTCATTCCTAAGAGGAGGGTTTAGGGTTTAGGGCCGCACTGCACAGGGTTTAGGGCTTAGGGCTTAGGGCTTAGGGCTTAGGGCTTAGGGCTTAGGGCTTAGGGCTTAGGGCTTAGGGCTTAGGGTTTAGGGTTTGGGGTTTGGGGTTTAGGGTTGGTTTAGGAATGGTCCTCCTCAACCCAACAAGCGAATATGTGAGATATCCTCAGGGCCAAAGAACTTCATAAGCCTCAGCTTTCAAAAGAAAAGAGAGCAGCTCCTAACTGCAAGCGCCCGTGGCCGTTCTTCTCCACGAAGCTGTCCTTCGGAAGCACTCCGTACGTGTGGAAGAAGCGCGCCAGGAGTCGCGCGAAGGTCGTCTTGCCAGTGCCGGGGTTGCCAGTGATGATGATGTTCAAGCAAACACGCAGGTCGCTCCTGGTGCCTGTTTGCTCCACAAAGGCCACCTTCTGCCGAACCTGTGCGAACCACTCCTTGGCTTTGGTCATCCCTACCAGGTTGCTCACCTCCTCATCAATCGCATCTTTCTGCTCCTTGCCTTCCCCAATCGGAGCGCCCACTTCGAAGTCTGCAGGTGTCAGGAACTCACTCTCCGGGACCTCTCCAGGCGTCTCGCCCTCTTGGATCCTGTTGAAGAGCCTTTCCAGGGCACCGCTTCTGGCAAGGGCTCTTCATGCTCAACGGTTTCAAGCTTCAGGCTTCCCAGATGTGTCTAGGCTTAACGGGTCCGTTTTCTTGCAAGCCCGGGGGGGGTGGGCGGGGGGGGGAGGGGGGGGGCGCGGGGTGACACATACATGTGTCTGTCAGAACATGCAGGAGGGCCTTGTGATCCGGTTCTGCACGGCTCGCTGTAGGAGCCTCCTAGCCAAGGCCAAGTTGCCCCTCTCGCCCAGCTCCTTGCCTTGGCCCCCTCCACCGAAGACCTCGTTGATGTGCTCCGTGAGACGCGCGGCCAAGCGCTCCTCGAAGGCCAGGGCTCCAGAGGGTAGGTGCGCCGCGGTCTTCTCAATAAACTGCACCAGCTCCACCGCCGTGAAGTCCGGAATCGAGACTTGCGTGGGAAAGCGGGCCTCGATGGACGGCTCCATGCGTGCAATCCTTGCGAGGCCTTGCTGGGTGCCGAGGATGACGAAGAGGGTGGTTCCGCTGCTGGCGCCGTCGATATTCCCAAGAGCCGCAGCCAGTGCTCGGACCACGTCACGGGAGTCCACCAGCGCATCGACGTCCTTTATGGCCAGGCAGCCATGCTCAGCAGCTGCAATGCGTCCAGCAATGATGTCGGTGGGATCGCCCTTGTCCACCAGCTCTTGGGCGTCAACCTCCGGGCCCCCCCCCCCCCAGTGTTTGAAGCGACCGTTGGAAAGATGATGTTGGAATGATGATGACTTGAATAGTGACTTGAACCGACTTGGAACATTGTGCAAGTATTACCTTCTATTTACGGATGGTTTCTGTGCTGTGGTTGGGGCCAGTGGCCCAAACCACTTCTTCGCGACTGATCGCGCCAGCCGCTCTGAGAAAGCATGTTGCCAAGCGAACAAAAGTCTCGCGCCCGGATCCTGGCCGTGTGGGGAGTGGCATGATAGAAGGGGGCGACATCCTTCCTTACCCATCCTATTACCATACTCACGCTGCGCTACTCTCTGCACATTGTCGTACTAGGGCCCCAAAAAACCACATAAACATAAGATTCATACTATTGGGGGATAAGGGCCCCTATGCGGGGGATTCGGAAAGACCCTGTTTGTAGGATCCTTATGTTTATGTGTTTTTTTGGGCCCCCTAGGTACAACTTCGCACCTGCGTTGGCAGAGACGCACAGTGCCCTTGGCATGTGCAGCGCACCGGCCAGTGCCGCGGAACCGCCGGCAGCAGCAGCCACTGCGCCACTTCCCCGAGGTCCTGTCCCCCCCAGCTGGCGGCGCAGCTGCGCGAAGAAGTGCCGAGCATTGCCAGGGTCCTGCACTGTGCTGCCCACGCACCACGCTGAGCAAAATAGAGAGAAGAACCACACGGACGTCAGTGAAAGACGGTCCTCCTCCGAACCCCAGCCCACGAGTTGGGATATTTCCGCTTCCACCTCTTTCATTCGCCGCTCTCTCTGCTCCGCAGTCAGCACATCCTTAGCCAGTTGCGCCATCAGCGAAGAGCAGGCATAGAACCCCACATGAACCCAGACATCCACATCACACAAAAAAATCCGCGAAAGCTGCAGGCAAGTCGGAGGATCGAGGCCGAAGTCCATGGGGGTCAGCCTGAAGCGCTCCGAGGAGTCCAGGTTGTCCGCCCAGGTGCGGTCGTTCTTCCGGGAGATGGCCAGGTCCTGAGCTGGCGGAGGACAGAAGACGACCAGGCGAGAACATCTCAGATTTTGGATCGGGGGGTTTCGTTGCTTTTCTTGCAGCCTCAGCACTTGAGGTTGTAGGGTTCAGATTTTAGGGCTTGGGGTGACATGGCACGGTACTGCGTGCCCTTCAAGCGTCGAGAACGTCCCGGGCCAGATGGCCATTCTTCTCACGGATGAGCTTCTCGTCAAAGCGCTGACGGACGATGTGCTCCAGCACGGTGATCAATTGCTTGGTGCCCACGTCCCCCTCTCCTGTGCTAGGAAGCTCGACGCCACTGAGCTACGACCACATCTACCCCACTTTTTGCATCCAGGCCTCATCTACCCCACTTGAAAACTGAAACATCCCGAAGATTACTTCAGCAAAGTAGGCCCAAGCTGAGAAAGAAAGGCAGATCGACGGCTGCATTTTGGATTTTTAACTCTAAAAAAAAAACCCTTGCAGGGTTTTAGGGTTTTTTTCCCGCCAATAGAACCGAGCTGCCGACTCCCTCGTAGCCGCGCTTCTCGACTTCCGCGGCGATGAGCATGGCCACATCCGTGGGGCTCAGGGTTGGGAGGACGAGGAGGTCGGGCTGGCGGCGCCGGAAAGCCGACAGCTGCCTGTTTTCTAAGCCCTAAACCCTAAGCCCTAAGCCCTAAACCCTAGCCCTAAACCCTAAACCCTAAATCCTAAACCCCAAACCCTAAACCCTAAACGGCTTCTTGCATCTTCTGACAAGGCACATGTTTGCTTCGACTGACTCGGGCGGACCCGCCATGATAACCTGAGCATGGGCAACATCCAGGTCATGCAAAAACATAACGCTCCCCGCATGGACATCATGCACATCATACTGCAGCCACAAGAACGACGCTTCCAATGTCGAGGACCTGCAGCATGCGAAGCCACACGGTTAGGATGACATGTCTGAATCTGAAATCAACACAATGCCACTGCGTGGCCCTGCACCTGCTCCAGAATTCCAGCATCCACCTCTGTCAAAGCCACCCCCTGATTGAGGCGCATGTAGAAGCAGGATCTGTCTGCCACCTTCAGTTTGCCTTTCGAGTCCAACCTTGGCTCCCGCAGGAAACAGCCCGGCATAAGCACTTCCTTTGCTCATTGCCGGCACCTACCAAAAACTTGCAGGCGCGGAGCAGATCACTCAGGGCCGAGATAGAGATCAGCAAGTCCGCTTCTGCCACAAGCTCATCAGCCTTGTAGTTGCCTTGCCACAAAGACACTCGTCGTCTGCATGCGCCCAAACGCATCGAATCCTATTGGCCTGGCCTACTCTGCCAGAGGGACCTTGCACACGCAGTGGTCGATGTGAGCCAGGAGGGAGCTCCTCTACTACGAGGCCCACGTCGTTCTTGCTGAGCAAGGCACCTGAACAGTCGCGAGCACACAATTGCAGCCACTTTCGCATCGCAGGCGAATCATGGGCCTTTCAAAGCTCCTTTTTTTGCGGACCCGGCCTCGATTCTCAGCGTCTTGCCAGGCTGCCAGTCGCACCCTGGATCCCACGCGGACGGATGCCTGCAAGTACACAAAGATGAGTCTGACCACTGCGTGTATTTGGGGAATTTGGGGCCAGGTCGCTTCTGTTTCCTAGGTTTCTCGCCGGGCCACAACCAGCTGGTTGTTCAGAAGCCCGAACAATCTTCCAATCAACTCCGCCGCCACACGCTTCCCCACACCAAACCCGCCGCTGATGAGAACGTGCCGACGCGGCTGCTTGCCTCCCGAGATGCCACAGTGCACGGTTTCGGGTTTAGGGTTTTGGGCTTAGGGTAGAACAATACTCCTCGCAGCGCATTCTCAGTGCATGGTTTTGGGTTGCTAGGGGTTATAGGGTTCAGGAGTGCATCTCGCCGAATCACAAGCCTGCCTTCTTTTAAGACATGACGGCCGGCCGCATCGCGGAGTCGCTGCACAATGAACTCCTGCAACTCAGGGATCGACACATGCGGGGGAGCTTACGAAAATCAGGGCACCCGATTATAGACGCCCCAAAGAGTAGGATCCCCTTCTAATAAGGACCCCAATAAGTAGGATCCCCTTGCAATAAGGACCCCAATAAGTAGGCTTCCCTTGCAATAAGGACCCCAAGAAGGTACCCCATTGTATCGGAAACCCATCATGCGCCCTTCATGTCGGGAGCTGATCAAGATATACTTGTTCCCGAAATGCCCTCTTTTTTTCCTCTTTAGACCAATAGAAAGCCCTACATAATTTCCCAGAAGGACCTGTAGATCAAACCCCCATGTCCGTTTGCTACAAGGACCACGGTGGACGCCTTCACGGGCTCCAGCCCCACGGTGCGTTCCAAGTCCGCTTTGAGCCTGCGCAGCGACGAAATCTCCGAAAAAAGGAAGAAATTTTGGGCGTTCCCCCTTTTTCCTAACAGTCCTTACTAGGGATTATAGTACCCCCTATTAGGATCCCCATTGGGGGGGGAACATCCCAAGAGGAAATAGAGAAGGATTGCACGTGGCAACACCACACCTGCAGTAGAACTCCTGCTCATCCTTGGACCACAGCAGTAGCGCGGCCAACCTGATCGTCAAGATGCCCGGGGAAGATGTTGCAAGAATCGATGGGGGCATGAGAACACATAGAAGACTTCTGCTCAGCTCATGGTGCCCCTGGACGTGCCTAAGGATGTCAAATACTCCAACAAAACTCACCAAGGTCCCTCCTAACAACAGGCAACTTCTATCAACAATCATCCTTGCGCCAAAATGGCACGGAGACATCTCCCTTACCCTCCCCCCCGGAAAATGCTGTAACATTCTCAATATTTCTCAATTGTTAATGTGGCATTTTTCATGCCTTCTCAGCTTTCTCCGTTTACTGCCTCCACCCCCTTCAGCTTGCAGGCAGTCATGCCGCAAGGAAGCACATGTAGCATATTGTAGCATGCAACTGCATGTAAGCTGGGAGTGCAACCGGTCAGTTTCATGGCTCTCTCGCACACGTTGCACCTGAGCTCTCCCAAGGCATCTCGTTTTTGCAGCCAAGCTCAGCTAGCGTGGGGCATGAGCAAGGTAAGGGATGTGCCTCACTATACTCACGTTGATCTCGTGCCTTTTGCAGCGCCAGCTTCTTCCTTGGCAAGACCGAGCAACAGCCACGACTGACCGCGACGGCGGCACTGTCTTCAGGCCAAGCAGCTCTTCAATACTCCGCCACAGAAACTTCAAGCGGTGCTCATCGCTGTATCTCACACCTGTGCCTTAGAGGCCCCGCGGCAGCTCAAGGTCTGGCGGCGCGAGTTTCTGAGGCTTTGTGCTGACCAAGATTCTACCGGGCGCCGGCTTTGGTTCCGGCCGGACTGGCTCCGGCCGCTGCTTCGGCACAGGAGGCGTCGGGGCCGGCGGGGGGGGTGTGGCCGGCCTCGCAAGAAGGGGCGAGAGATCGCGATGACCGGAACATGCCGTTTCAGGCCTTTCTGCAACTTGTGGCTCCTGAGTGCCACCACCTCCTGCGAGGACTACACTTTCCACACAGCTTCATTCAGTTCGTGGTATTCCGAAAACTCCGACAGGGCACCTGCCGCGCTTCCAGGCGAGGCTGTCTCCTCATAGCCTTCAAAGAACTTGGACTCCGATTGCAGTTTTCGTATCTCTTCTGAGATTTCAGGAGATTTCTGAGCTTCCTGGTGCTTCAGGCAGTGACGATGTGACTGTGCACATGCTTCTCCTCTGCCAACAGCCCGCCTGCTCCACTCGACTCCGCAACACCTCATGGGGCATCAGCAAGCACAAACGATGGACATGTTTACTTTCCAAGGATGGGCTCACTCCATCAGCCTAAGTTGGGCTTACAGCAGGTGATTGTTGAGAGTTGCACACTCAAGAACCCAAAAACGAAGGTCGCCTTTCTAGTTCCGCTTCATCCAGCTTCCTTGTTTGTGAGCAGCAGGCACCATACACCACCAGACACCGGGAACCGCCATAGAAGATTCACTGCTGCGAGACTGGTTTCCCGGTCCACAGCGGATTCGGAAACTGAAAACGCGCAGATTCGGAAACTGGAAGAACCTGATTCGGAAACTAGAAAAACCTGATTCGGGAAACTAAAAGCGCTGATTCGGGAAACCAGGATTCGGCAAACCCGCTTATTCAGGAAACTGGAAAACGCGGATTCGGGAACCGGGGATTCGGGACACTTCAAAAGTGCGGATTCGGAAACACGCGAATTCGGGAAACCCAGATTCGCGAAACCAGCTGATTCAGGAAACTGGAGCGCGCGGATTCGGAAACCAGCTGATTCAGAAACTGGAGCACGCGGACATCAACGTTATCATCCCCCCCCCCCACCCCTCCCCCCCACCCACCCCCCCCAACCCCCCTGAATCGCGCGTTCTCAGTTTCCTGAATCGCGCAGTTTCCGGAATCGCGTGTTTTCAGCTTCCTGAACCGGGTAGTTTCCGGAATCGCAGAGCATGCGCGGAATGATGTTGGAATTGTGCAAGGAGTAATGGTTTCTTCCGCCCAGAACGAGCATTCCGACCATGGCGATAAGGAGTCGATCGGGAAGACTGGCCACCCCTGGGGTGGCCCTGCCTACAGCCACAGCACGAGTGAGATCCTTGCGCCTGGAAGTGGCCCACTCTCCCAGTCACTGCGCCGACACAACGCCCGAATCGACGCTGGCTGGAGCGGGAGTGGTGTGTGACAGATGGACTGTCTCTTCAAGAAAAAGGGCATCCAGGCTTAGAGTTCCAACTGAAACTGGTGCCCAGCGCCCTCCATCCGACAGGCAGTGGAGGAATACGATAAGCCTGGAATTTGCACCACCAATGATTTTGCCCCAGGTCCTGGGGCAGGCCAGAATCAAAAGGTAGGCCGTACATGGCCGTACTACCAGCTTTCCTCTTGCAATACCAGACAAGTACTTCTGTGCCGAATCGACGGCAACAAAGCGAAGATTCCGCACCAGCGAAAGCTCCGGACAAGCCTGACATTCTTAGGCCTCAAAATGATGACCACTCTCGCTGGCGCCACACGGTATTTTCAGGTGCCCGTGAGGCTCTCGCTCCGCAAACGTCAAGAGGTGTCCCAAACATCGCAAACGAAGGTGCGCAACTGCTAGCACACGAGTTTGCTCGTACTCCTTCAGGAAAAAGCTTGGCTCTGGGTTGTGTCTGGTGTTCACCTCAAAACCCCAAATCCAAGAGCCAAGCCATGCCAAAGCCATACACAAACCCAAGCACATCCCTCTATTGGACCCAGAGTCCGAAAAACTCCACACTCAAAGCCTCACCTGCCCTTGAGCGCCCAGCCACCAGAGGAGGGCGGGCCCGGCAAAGCTGCATCCTCATGATGCCAGCACGCATTCTTTCTCCACTTGATCTCACAAAGAACCTCACTCTCTCCTCTGGGCCAACCGTCAGAAAGAGTTCCTGAGATCGGTGTCTGTCGGCAGCCAGCACGCTCGCACACACCGACCAGCTGCAATATGTGCCAAGGCGCTTGGCCATTCCGCAAGCCCAGGCTTGCCAAGCTCGGGAAAGCGTCGACGGAAGCAAAGGAGCTGTAAGGAGGCAGGGCCTCCAAAGGGCTCAAGGACATAAGACAAGGGGCAACGGGGGCAAAAAAAGTGCAGCATGTGCTGCATGTGCGCAATTGTGCGCAGCCTCTTCTCTCGGCTCCACGGGAAACGTGGACCTTAGACTTCAACCCTTGGGGCTCTTTGGTCCTTTTTTCAGAATCCTAAATCCAAAGCAGGCCATCCAAGTCCCAAACTCATCGGCGGGACGCAGCACTTGACGTGCTGGTGCCACGTGGAAGTGCTCCTCTACGGCCTTGTTCGCACAACTCCCAACTCCTCACCCGCTGGGGGCTTCGAGGTACCATGCTTGCCTGATAGAAATGGAACAAGCTGACGGTTTCCGTGGTGCCATCCACTTCAAGGGGACGTCGACCTCCACAGGCGCCACTGCCAGACACTTCTAGATACTGTTGCAGCGTTGCACTTACACGTTGCTCACCTTCATTTCAGATAAGCTCAGGAGGGGCCTTTCTGCCCGTCCACGTTGTAGCGGACTCGGATTAGCAACCGTGCAGCAGCAGCCGGGGCTTCCTGATGTTGCGTGCCGTCACGGCTATAAAAAGCAGTCGCTCTCGCCCGGGTGTCCTCTTTCGCAGAGCTGCGAACCGCGTTGTACATGTCCCGGTCGGCGCGGATTTCCTGAGCTCGCGCCCCTTTCCCTTGACACGATCGATCACGAGCGACCCGCTTTCCACTTTCGCTTGAATTTCGGGTTGCCGAGACTCAGCTTCAATTCGTTCCTTCTCTGCCTTTTTGGCCGCCAACGCCTGGTCAGGAAGGGCGCACTGGCTGCCGCTTAGCCCCGAGAAATGTGCCACCGCTGTCCATAGCGCGCGTGGAGGGGGCCCCAGAGCTCCCACCCCCCAGAGCGTCCCAGAGTCGCAGACAGCTCATAATCCGCAACACATAATACACAAGATGCAACAACAACAAAAACGAAAGATAAGTAAACTTTACAGAATTCATTAGAGAAAAAATGGAGAAAGACGAAGGGATTTAAAAAAAAAAAAAGGCTGCTTGAGCTCAGGTCCGAGCCCGCCTCCCTCTCCGCCTTCGCCCTCGCCGCCTTCTCGGCCTCAGTGAGGACCTGCGTTGCCGCAAAAACTCAGCCGAGTTGTGCACTAGAAACCTCTTGAAAATGGACTTAGGGGATTTAGGGGTTAGGGTTCTTCTTGGCACCCGACTAGCCACAGCACGGCGGGGTTTGAAGGTCGGCTAGGGTTTATGGTTTAGGGTTTAGGGTAGGGTTTAGGGTTTTAAAACCCTTTGAAAAATGGATCTATGAGTAGGGTGCCCTCACAAGGAAAGCGAAGGCAAATTTTTGAAAACTAGCCCGTGAAGAACAACCCCCCCAGCAAGAGGGCCGAAGGAGAACAGGGAATGAAAAAAACAAGGACCTGTCGGGAGCTAGCTTTTTCTCAAGCAGAGGGAACTAGTTCATGGTTGGGATAGTAGTAAACATTTTAATGCTTATTCGTTAAGTACCCTTAAAAATGTCACATGTTGCCCAAGAAGTACCCTTAAAAATGTTAAAGTGTTACCCAATAAGTACCCTCAAGAATGTTAAAATGTTACCCAACTCTGACAGAGGGTTTAGGGTTTAGGGTTTAGGGTTTAGGGTTTAGGGTTTAGGGTTTAGGGTTTAGGGTTTAGGGTTTAGGGTTTAGGGTTTAGGGTTTAGGGTTTAGGGTTTAGGGTTTAGGGTTTAGGGTTTAGGGTTTAGGGTTTAGGGTTTAGGGTTTAGGGTTTAGGGTTTAGGGTTTAGGGTTTTAGGTTTAGGGTTTAGGGTTTAGGGTTTAGGGTTTAGGGTTTAGGGTTTAGGGTTTAGGGTTTAGGGTTTAGGGTTTAGGGTTTAGGGTTTAGGGTTTAGGGTTTAGGGTTTAGGGTTTAGGGTTTAGGGTTTGGCAGAGGGAAGAGGCAGCAAGAACCGCTCAGAACTCGGCCATGGTTGCAGGCGCAGGCGACCGCGGCACGGCGCACCGCTTCGAGGTTGCAAATTTCCGCCAACACCACTCCCTTAGGCAAGGTTACCTTGCCAAACCCTAAACCCTCAACCCTAAATCCTAAATCCTAAACCCTAAACCCTAAACCCTACACCCTAAACCCTCCTGCTTGTGGGTGAGATGCCGTGATGCTTGTGACTGGCTGGCGCCGGGGACACGTGCTTGCAAATGAAGCGTCAATCTGTCAGCTGTGATCCGCAGCAGCTTCGCGAAGTCGGCAGTTTACCCAGAGATCTTGGAAACAACGGCCTTCAGACGTGTTTAAGGTTCAGGGTGTAGGGTTTAGGATTTAGGCAGCCCTTTCTTTTCGAGCCATGTGCTTGCGAAGGGACGGGTCTGCTTGTGTTCTTGCAGGCGCGTGCGATCAAAAATGCAAAATCTTCGACACTACAATGAAGACGTCATCGATCCTGCAGAGAGATGCCAAGCAGCCCCGCCAAATCGTCACGTAGCAGGCTCTTTGTGGGGATGATGCAACTGCATCAGAATCTGTGCAAGTCCTTTGTAGACCCGAAACATTGCAGGACCTGTGCCACATCAGCAAGTGATGTGAGCTAAACATGAGTTAGACTTCAAGCAGCAGTAGGTCCCAACCCTAGACTAGAACGAGCATCCAGCAGCCTGGTCAGATGCATCCTGGTCACGGCCCACCATAGAACTGCAACGCCTATCGGCCTATGCTTCAACAAGCTCCGAAAAGCCTTGCCTCACCACCACTGTCATGTAGCCCCCTGCCACCTGATCTGTGCCTTTCACCGCATCCCTATGCATGACCTCGAGGCTCTGAGGTCAAGCGGTGCCTTTGGCACTTTCCACCACTAGGGCATCGCATCCGCAAAGAAAATCGCTGGACACAGGTGCACCACGAGTGCCCTTCTTGGTGAGCTTTGCTCTAGCAAAAAGGCACGCCGTCGAAAACTCTTGCTCTCGATTGCAATTGGAAATCCAGTCAACCTGGCTTTACGTTGGCAGTCAGTCTGGCTGCGTAGGTTGAACAGGAACACCTCAAAACTAAGTGGCGAATTACCTGCAGGCGTGCACCTACCAACAGCTAAGGGCATCTGCCCAGTTCCGCTATGTTCATGGAAAGTTCTTGTACGTAACATGGCTTTCACAAGGGCAAGTGTGTCTCTTAGCTGTTGTGAAGCTGTAAGCATGAGGGGAAAGCCAACCCAGCGAAGAAGCCTCCCAGCCATCTCCAGCCTGAAAAGCCCCTCGCCCCCATGCCAGAACTCACGCTGCCGCAAGCCCCTTCCATGGTGCTTTGCGAAAATGACACGAACACCTAGCTTGATCTAGCTTGATACACAATCACTTTTTGCCCAAACGTGTGCCGGCAACAGGACTCGCACATCCCTGGACTTTGCTATGCTTAAGCATCCAAAAAGCGGCTCGCGGCTCTTCCAAGTTCCGGATCAGACGTTGCTTGTGCTGCTGCAAACGTTGCTCATGCTGTCGCCTGGGACAAAGAATTCGGTTTTCTCACTGTCAAGGACCTGCAAGTCTGCAGCTTGCCTAGCTCGCGCCGATCCCAGTTCGACATCTGGGACCCGATCTTGTAGCCTTCCAGCACGCAAGCAGCTGTACAGCTCCACATACCAAGAGATTAAAAACTGTAGCGCAAGAAGACAGCATCCCCGCCTACGACGGCGCAGCAGCAAAGAGAGGTCAGGACCAGAAAAATTGCACATGACCAAACTGCCGTTGCAACCTCGCTTCTCACCACAGAACCCGCAGAACGAAGTGTCAAACATCAGCTTCGTCTGCGGGCAGGGCAGTCTTGGCCATGCACCAATGTGATCTGCAGAACTCCTCATGGCAGCGCGAAGGTGCCATGGGACTACTTGCGCAGAGCAGCCCGCAAATTTCAACTGCAGATCGCAGCTGTCACAGCACAAAAGCAAAATCGAAGCTACTAGATAGACCACACGAAAATCGGACATCACTGTCTATCGGCTTTGCAGGTCAGGTCTGCGACGGGCCGCCTTGCAGGCGAGCCGATAGCAGGCATCGTACTCGTCACTTCGAGGAGAACGCCAATGCAACACCTGACCCACCACATGAGGCCGATTCTCACTTCTACGGCTTATGGCTTCGCCTTCTTGTCTTCAGGTTCATTCCTGTACAAGAAGGCACAGTCTCCGATCCAAGCACTCCTGCATGTCAGAAAAAGGTAGCTCTCCAGATGCTTAGGCACAGGAAATGGAACTTCCAAAAAGCTCTCGTGCAGCCAGTCCTCCACTGCCTCTCCCTATCGCCGAAATGATAATCTGGACCTTGGCAGCCGCCTATTGACTCGTCCGGACTGAAGAAGAAGCCTGCACTGGCACATGAAGCCCACGATGGTCTAGAAATGGCTCAAATCACATCGGAGCACAATGCTAGCGCGCAAAGCTGATGATCTGCCCTGTGTGCCGATTGCCGTCGCTAGCTTGGCTTCCACACGGCTACAACGCCGTCGGCAAGGGGAGCTGAAGCTGATGCAACCGCATGTGCCGCTGCAACAGATGTCCGCTGCTGAAAGTCACGTTCAAGCCGCAACGGGAGGCTGACTGTGTCTGGGAACCAGATAGCATTGTGCCCTGGGGCCTGAAGACAGTGGCGTCTTGCTACACCCCCTCCTCAACCCACCTTAAGATTCGATCTATGTGTGGACGGTGTGAACCCATGGGCTCAGACACAGTCATGCACTCACCTGGCCAGATAACATACAACCGAAGATGCAACAAGCTGAAAGAAGCCCTTCAACGAGTCTTCTCTTGCATGTACAAAGAGCTTGCCAACGAATTCCCAGATCAGGAAACCTGGATGCCAAAGGCCAAAAACTTCTTGCGGCAGAACATGCCGCGAAGCCTTTTCAAGCCGGGAAGGCTTTCCAAACCAGAAGCACTCCGCTTCATGCGCTTGCTTGGTCTGCCCTGTGGCAAAACATCGAGGCAATCGGCGGACACGTACACATATCCAGGCTGGTAGTCGGCGTAGCCCGTATCAACTCGATTCAGGCTTGCCGACCATGGACCTGGCGGCGGGTTCGGCTTGTCACGCACTGTCTTGCGCTGCTCGTACGCCATTACATGCTGGTCCTCGGTGAAGCGCTCATCATAGTATGCATGTGGAGGCTTGTCAGGTTTGACAACCGGAAAGTTTTCCCAGCGAATTTGGTTCTTCGTGAACTCAACGTACGGCCCGTGGTCTCCATATAGCACACGACGGTAACCCTTCGCAATCACAACTGAGGTGTCAAGCTCGTTTACGAAGACGGTTGTGGAATTGCCTGACTAACGCGAACTTCAGTCACTTAGAATCTGCACTCTGTTTTTCATGTGGCTGCGCTGCACATGCCAACAGCAACGTCAACCCCTGACAAGCCCTCCTAAAAGCAACTCGTGCTGGTTCTGCAGCAAGCTGCCCTCTTCCGATATGCCCAGTTTCTTCTCCACCCACTTGCGATCGCGCTTGCGGTTCCATGAATCCACCGTCGATCGAAAGGTGCCATCGGGCATCGGACCGAGGGGTGGTGCTGCAGGGAGGGCCGCGCGCTTCCTGGGGCGAGCTGAATCTCAACATCGAAGCCTCACTTAAATGTTTTCAAACCCTAACTCGTAAACCCTCTTTTTAACAACTAAACCCTAATATGGTACAAGTGCCGAAGGTAAAGATGTGACATGCGCTGATCCGTCCTCCCGTTAGCTGCTCGCCGTTCCTCACACATGGGAACGTCCCGTTCTGGACTTGGTGACTGCTTTAGCAACTCTTCCAGCGCCATGATCTGCAGCTCCGCAGCCACAAGGTCCTTCACAAGGAACGATACATAGTCGTGCAGCCAAAAACACTGCAGCCCCAACGTCTGACAATCCGATCAAAAACGTCGCCATGCTGCAGGCCGCATAGTATGATGACCAAGCGGCGCGTTCAACCTCAACGTCGCTAGTCAGTTCCTGCAGATTCAAGATCTTCTTGTGGGCGCTGTTTGCCAAGTGCTGGAGGGCCGAATGTGCAACTATCCGCTTCCACAGGTCTGGGTCAGCCATGTCCCCACAAGCAGCTCTCCATTTGGATATGAACGCCGCACCTAAGAACGAAAACAAGACCCAACCACCTCAAGTTGGCACGCCATGTATCGTTAAGCTAGTATGAGGCTTGCGGGAAAATGAAAGCGACGACCCGATTTGCACGATAGCGCAAAAGTGCATATGCCGCAAAGTGGCCGATAGGACAAGCGCTCATTCATGCGCGCGGCAAGCGGAGTTGGTCATTGGGCGGGACTTTGGGCCACTAACACAACACAGGCAAAAACAGGTCTGTCTGGCACCTTTCAGGCCGGCCCCCCTGTCCCTTGCAGCACGGGCCTTGCTCCCAATTGATGACGCCAATAATCCCTAGCCTCGGCTGCACAAAGCTGCACGCATGTCTCCTGTCACTGCTGCACTGGGGCACCGCAAACCTAAATGTTTCAAAAAAATGGCTCGGCCGATGACACTGATGCAAGGCTGATGGCAAGGCAAGGGCAGCACACTTCGCACCTCAAAAGCGCACACATCCATCCTGTTCGTTGCATGCGGTGGCATGTGCACAGCACCTGCCCGGAGAGGCTCCATGCTTGCAGGACAAGCGCATCTCCTGAAATCAAAAACAACAAACATTTTTCCGCACGGCGAACATGAAACAAACCACAAGCATGCAAATGTATTTGCGAAGAAGGTGCTGACACTTTCACACGACACGTGCTGCAACATGGCGGCGCCGCCCCGATAGCATGTCGAACAAGAAACGGCCGCGACCCAGATCTTTGGGCATCTCGTTAGGCACCATGTGTGTGGCTCGGGAGCCGACGCCGGACATGCTCGATCTGCTAGCGACCACCAGCTGGACAAATCCAAAACCGAACCCATCCTGTTGCGGCGCCGGCTCTGACGGCGGCGGCTCTGATTGCGGCGCGCCGCAGTACCGCCAACGTCCACTTACCACCGCATTGGGGATCCTGGGGGCCGTCAGAACACAATGCCCTGCTTCGGGGCGTGTCGCCGAAAACGACAAGGTCCCGCACGCCGGGCACCGTGGTTGCGCACCGTGAAATTCGATCAAATCGTATGAGTAACACCTCGCGTGGGCAACCACAGTACTCACTAAAAATATCGCGGCGCGGTGGTTCGGGATGCGCAAGGTACGTACTTCCGTGATGTCGTCGGATGTTGTCGGCAAGAAGGTTGGCTCGCGGATGGGCCGAGGGGCTCGGGGAAGCGGGACACGCAATGCAGCGTTTGTGCCGGCGGCCAGTCTCGAGGCGGCAGGCCTGGCCTGAAGCGTCATGCAACCGTAAGCGTGCAGTGTCGGGCAGGACGGGCGCCGAAAGATGTCGGAACAAAGGGAAAACAGCGTCCTTGGCAAGGGAGAACAGTATTGGACACGCGGCGGGGCAAACATCTTTGCACTTTGCACTTTGCCCGTTCGAGTCACGAAAACTACGGTCTTTTCAGGACAAGGGACAACGCTGGGTGTTACGAGCTCATTAATTTGCGAGACCGTGTCAAACTGTACAAAATCATGTCTTGTTGACGGCCATCTTGGCAGATGAGCTACATCAGACCACGAACTACATCCAGGGAACTGCGACATTACAAACTTGTTCAACTCATCATCCCATCGCTTGGGGGGGCGACCAGGTCGTCGTCTCGGCACACTATTGAAATTGTGCTGGGATGAGGGACTCCAGGTTGCAGCGCATAGTGGCCAAGCATTTTTCGCAGTCAGGTTCATTACGAACCTGTGCTGATTCACTGGACCACGAAGGCACAGGATGTTGCCTGAGAGCAGACGATACCGGGCATGCATGCGTCGCATCGTTTCTTCCCAAGTTGCATCTGCGTCGCGACTCCACCCAACGATGCTTCGAAAATTTTTTCGCTGGCATATATCAAGCTGTTCCAGCTGTCGCGCCGTCAGTGCCAATGTTGAAAGTCCGAACAGTGCCGTAGGAGTGACCACAGCGTTGAAAAGCTTCAATCTGCCTTTGATTGACAGGTGCTTGTTCACGAATATGAATCAGCTTATCATCCCGTCACCGGCGGCTACTCGCTGTTTTTTGTTTGTTTTTCTCTGGCGCCTCTTTGCGTCCGCCGCAGTCACGGTCCAGTCCGCGGGTCCCCTTCGGAGGCCGGGGCGGAGACTAAGCCCGGCTGCACCAAGCGCTGGGACGTGTACGGCGGCCCGCCGCTCGAACCGCTTGGCGGACGGTGGAGTCCTGAAGCTGCACCCTGGTCAGCCCCGTTTCCTGGGACGGAAGACCGCGCCCTGGCACTGAACCCCAGCCGGGCGTTGCTGTGCGTGCTGCTGCCCGGCGCAAGCGCAGGCAGACTTACCTGACCTCCAGGTTGGTGGGCGCTTTGACGCCGAAGCCGCCTCCTTCCTTCTTTTCCTCCTGCGTTCCCTCCCGCCGCACCGGCCGCGTGGGTGCTCCGGTGGAGTGTCATCGCGGTTGCTGCGCAGCGAGCGCTTGAACTCTGCCGCAATGCCGCCCAGCACCCGGCAGGCCGAATACGCGGCGGAATGGCTGGACGAAGCGTGCAGAAAGGCTGCGCAGTGGAGAAGCGCGCGCTCGAGATGGACCTCGACTCGGCATCGCGAGCTCTCCCAATGCAGTCCCGGCGCGAGCTGCCGCCTGACTGTGTTGCCCACGGGACCGGACTTCACCGTACCCAGCGACGAGTTCCGGATTCTGCTCCTGCGCCGCCTCCGCATGCCGCTACCGCTGGCGCCCCAAGGATGCCGCTGCGGGGGGGCGTTGGACGAGTATCACAGGTCGGCGTGCGCTCAGGTGGGGGCGCTGCCGCAGCGAGCTGGGCCCCTGGAGCGAGCCGCGGCCCGCATTTGCCGAGAGGCCAGGGCCCGCGTCGCTACCAGCACAGCGTTGCGCGGCTTGAACCTGGACCTCCCCGCCAGCGATGCACGGCGCATCGAGGTTGAGGCCAACGGCATGCCCATTTCGCGAGGGGTGCAGGTGGCTGTCGACACTACACTCGTCAGCCCGGTCCAGCGCAACGGACAAGCGCGCCCAGCGGGGTGCAACGCTGTGCCGGGAATGGCGCTCCAGCAAGCGGCCGCGACCCCGAGCTGCGCCTCGACAGCCGCGGCCGATGTCGCCTCGTCGTCTTCGGACTGGAAGTGGGCGGCCGCTTCGGAGCGCGGAGATGCTCGGCTTCATCGGCGCTTGGCGCGGGCACGCGGCGCGACGGCGCAGCGTGGAGCTCAGGTGCAGCAGGGCATGCGCTGGCTCGCCGATGGACGGGTCTCGCTTCGCTGGCGGCGCTGAAAGCCCACGCAGCCACGTTGCTGGAGCTGCCGGCGCGCTCCGTCGACGCCAGTGACGGCACCGAAGTGCCGGTCGGCGACCTTCTGGCGGAACTGCCGTCGTGCCGACCAGACTGCAGTCGCGCAGGCGCAAAAAAGGTGTTAATTGGTGTCTGGGAGCGAGGTACCTCCACTGTTGGTTTGATCGATCTGTGGTGGGCGGATTGAGCAGAATCCGCTCGCCCATTCTACCTTGGCAAGCTTGCTTCGACCGGTGAAAGATGGATCCCACGGCCGTGGAATTGCAGGCCATCAGTGATGTGGCCACGGCACTTGCCTGGGCAGGTGTCCAAGGGCCATTGGAAGAAGCGCTAAGGACAGCGCAAGACGAAATTTGGTGGATGTCCATGGATTTCCCAAGCCCGGATGCACTCAATGTGGCTTCAGGGGAGTGGAACCCCAAAGAATAGCCGTGCCCGTCCAGCTACCACGTCTGGTTTCAGAGTTGGAAGGTGCTGCGAACATCACTCCTCGAAGCGGTGAACGCCGAGCGCCTCGACGTGCATGCCTAACACATTTTTTCCAGGCACGCGGGACTATGGCTTCACCCAGGCGCGGCCTTGGAACGCGGTCTTTGCGGCAGCGTTGAAAACGCAAAGGTTTGGAGCCGCGAGCTGACCACGCCGGCCACACGCTGGCTTTCACGACAGGCGTTGCGAATTCCCAATTGGGCCGCGGCTGTTGTCAAATGGTGTCCACACCGTAACTGGCAAGCAAAATTTTGCTTTACAATTACATGGTCGACCCGGTCGCCCCTGATCGACTCCGCAGTTTTGCAGCCTGTGTTTTTTTTTTTTTCGCGCGCCTTTTTCCGCAGCCTGTCATGGCGGGGGTCGGGGTCGGGAGGGAGGGGCCTCACCGCCGCGGCGGCACGCGGCTTGCGGGCGGGGGGCGATCCCAGCGGCCATCGGCCAGGACCTCGTGCAGCTCAGGCGCGGCATCATCGCCGTTGCTCTCACCTGCAAGGGGCAGCTCGAGCAAGGAAGATGCGAACGCGCGCTGGGCCGCAACGGCCAGGAGCGCCGCCCATCGCGCCACCCAGGCGGCCTGAGCCGCCGGTCGGAGGTGCGCTGGGATGGTGGCAGCTCGGTGGCGGGCCAGGAGGCGCAGGAAGGTGGCTGCTTCCGTGCCAAAGCGCCCACCCACTTCCAGGGCAATGACGACCAGGCGGCACCGCCGGGCACGGAGGAGCTCGGGGTACGTGCCATGCCGCTTGCGCCGCGCTGCTGCGGCGACAGAGCGCCCCGGCTCAACATCAGCCCGCGGGTGGGGCTCGCCCGTACGTGTGAGCGGGGAGACGAGCGTGGCATCAACCGCGAGCTGCGAGCCAGAGGGACAAGCCGTTGGCCACGACTTCGACGCGCCTGTCATCTGCGACGGGCACGTCGATGTTCATGTCGGCAACGCGGACGTTGCGAGCGACACGCGCACCGGCTTCGCGGCAAACCCGCGCAACGGCGCGCTCAAGTGGCCCTGCACGCGCGGCGAGCGGCGGTCGGGGTCTGTGAGTTCGGCCAGGGTGGCCGGGGACCCCTCCGCGAGAGGCTCGGCGGTGAGCGCGCGGCTTGCCGCGGACAACTCGCCAAGTTGGACGAGAGACTCAGCCCGGTGCGCGCGGGCCTCGTCAGTGGTGGTCCGCGCGGCGCCCCTGCCGCTGGAACCAACGGCGGCTGTGGCCTGACGAAGTAGTTCCAGCCAATGGCCAGCCTGGAAAAGCTCGCTGCGTCGGTCAAGCTCGGCAGGCGGCACACGGCCGGTTCCAGGCGCACGGTACAGCAGCATGCGAGGCGCAAGCATGAAAAGCTTCCAGCCCCGCACGCGCTCCAGCAGCGAACCCCCGGCCGTGGCGAGGCGCAGGCCAGTTCGCAGCGCAGTCCGCA